GTGTTGCATGCCGGTCGCGGTTCCTGCTAACATGGCGTCGGTGTTGATCGTCGCATGGTGCAAGCTCGTTGTTCTACGTAGAGTGCTTTCCTTGACTGTGAATTCTTGTCGTGTGTCGCGATAATGACCCAGCACGTCCTAGAAGGGAAGGTCCATTGATTTATGCGGCGATGTTGTGGCGGCACGCTCAAGAGAGCAGAAACGCTCGTGCCGTCGCGTTTGTTTACTTCGACTACAGTGGTGCTTTCTTAGCATTTCTGTCCTCGAACATCGCCCAGATTTCTTATTTGGAATACAGTTAAACCTCGATGTAACGAAGTCGGTAAAATTCGCAATTTACTTCGTTACATTGAAATTTCGCTAAATCGAAATTTGGCTTTAGCATGCAAAAAAAATTAAAAAATCCGAAACATTTTACGGGTATGAAAACTCACCGAAAATGACATTTATTTTGGGGCAGAGTAGTCCGCGAGTTTTGCTTGCGCCTTTACGACAGCAGCAGCGGCGTCATACGGCGTTCGAGCGCCCAAAGCGCTTGCACGGCATCTTGCTGCTCATGCGACGCCGTGTTCCTCCTCAGTACGTCCATTGCGTCGAGCACTTCCCGAGTGCTCGTGTTCTCAGCACTTTCTTCAGGATGGCGTCCAAAACGTTTGCTTTCTCATCCAAAAAAAGAACTTTACGTTTCCTTATGCCAGCAAGCACGTGAGTGAACCGCCCGGTTGAAAAATAAAGCTGTTTAGTTTAGGCGGTGACAATGTTTCCAACCTACACAGCACTCTTGCCCGCACAGTTTACTTGCCCCCTCGCGCCCATAGTGTGCTTGCGCCTTTGCTTTACATCACGGTCATCACGGTCGCAAGACGATAATCGGTCCTCTCGGTCTTCTCCTAGATGGCACTGCCCGTGCTGTCACGCCATCACGTCGCTCCCCCGCTGAAGTTGGCTCCCGCGCTACCCGCGGTACAGTGGACTATGATGATCAGTGAATGTCAGTGGTGATGCTGTTATGCCGTGTAAACTTTTTGCTCGGCATTTTCTGGCCAGCCCCGCGGAATCCGCTTTGCCGCATGCCTCGCCGGCGCTACCGGCGCCGCATCCTCGGGCAGCCTAGGAACGTTGGAAGGCCTGTCCCCGTGAAGTAACCTTTCAAAGCGCTCGTGTTCGCGCATAATTTTTTTTTTTTTTAACCCCAATTTTTTTTTTTTGCGAAGTTGTTTTTTAGAGTCTATTTATTTATTGCCTATGGCAATGGCGCTTCGTTATATTGAAATAGCAGCAAAATAGACTTCGTTATATAGAGACTAAAAATACATGGGGTCTATGGGCAAAAAATTATAAAAAATAAAATACTTCGTTAAATCGAGGATTTCGTTACATTGAAGTTCGTTATATCGAGGTTCGACTGTATTTCATGCCTGTGCTAAAGTTGAAGGTATTACTGGTGCTTGCTGTATTTAAAGGCGTCTATGAAGGATGCAAATTTCAACGTGTTTTCATCACCAAAGAAAAAAGATTAGTGTTAGCAACGTCTATGTGATCACAAAATCATATTTCTACGTTGCTCTATTGCTGCTAAGATTGCATTGTCTTTTGTAATCGTAGAAGAGGCGCATGATGAGATTTGTACTATTGGCCAAGTTGTGTGTTAAGGTCGTGATTGTCCAAGATGGCGTACTGCATCTTTTTCTTTTCTTTTTTTCATCCCCTCTACCCTGCAAGCCTATCCTGAAAGAAAATATAAATAAAGCTCGAAGCTATAGAAAACTGTCTGTCTATTTTCTGTTACACCAATAAGTGGCCGCGCGTCCCCTTCTTTTTAGAGGCACCGCTGAAACAGCTGACGGCGGCGGAGAAGCGATCGCCGTGCTGCCGACCCACTGCGCTTGTTGCAGTGGTTGCAGGAGTGTGTATGCACGGCGCAGAGCAGTTGTTCTGACCTCTCTGGTCACAACAGATGCAGTCCTACATATCGCACTCATTGCAAGTGCCTGAAGCAGCCTTAAGATCCAGAGCGCCAAGGAAACACTCATTGTTGTCTTTGGCGCAGCTAGGACCGGCTTCAACTGGGACCCTTCACAGGCAACCGGCGTCATTGTGCTACCGGCAGTAATTATACACCACGGTTATGTCAAGCTCCTGCCATTGTAGACTCCAACGGGAGAGGCATCCTGAAGAGCCTAGACTGCAGGAGTTTGACATGAACGTGGTGTATAATTACTGCCGGAAGCACAATGATGCCGGTTGCCTGTACGAGTTGACAGGACTTTACGGGTTCAAAATGATGCCGCTCGGGCTTTGTACAGCACCATCCCCCTTCCAGCATTTACACCGTGCTGGCATTGACCAAATGGCAGAGCTGCCTCGTCTACCTCGACGAAGTCGTATTATTTTCATGAGATTTCGACAAACACCTAGGACGACTTCGAGACGTGCTCCGAGCCATTAAGACTGCCGATTAAAACCTGCAAGTGTCGGTTTTCCCATGGTGAAATAAAGTTCCTTGGCACGTCCTAGCAACGGAAATGTTCGCCCTGACCCCAAGAAGGTGAACGCCGTAGCCGTATTTACGCCGCCACCTGACAAGAAGGCCCTAAGAACGTGTCTCGGACTCTGTGACTACTGCAGGTGGTTTGTCCGAGACTTGGCCAAGCTGTCTGCTGACGCAGCTCGGAATAATGCACAGCCAGCCAAGTAGGCAGCGCATTTGGCTCTCACGCAGCTGGCCGCAGTTCGAATACTGCCACCGCTTGTTGTTTTTCCCTTCTTTATATAAATTCTAGAACATTGGATAACCATGTAGCTTGTTCATGCTCAGAATTTAGAATTACAGAACGAATGTGGTAGAATGTCCTAAACTTGCAGGGAAGGCTCAAAAGAAAGCTAGCGTCACGGGCGCCGATGGCAGCATAACAGCAAGATCGAATACTGTGGCAAGACCGACTCTGTACAGCACGGCTTGTTTTGAGCCACCCCTGGGAGCCCAGAACACTGCACCTCAATAGCTCTGGAAGTATAGATTCTGAGCATAAACAAGCTATGCGGTTCTCCAACATTATAGAATCTTCTACTTACATAAAGAAAGATAAAATGACAAGTGGCGGGGTTCAGACCCCGGCCATCTGCCTGGGAGCCAAGCCCACTGCCTACTTGACTAGCTGCGCACGCGGCAATATTTTTCGTTTCAGATTCGGGCAAACGATCGATTCCATTGAGCGCTCAAAGAGCAGCCATCAGAGAGCCTCACAAAGGGTTGTGACAAAAACAGGATAACACAGCCAGCTGTTTTTGCAAAAGTCACTTTTCTCTTGGTGGGAATTGAACCAATCAACTCTCAGTGAGCACTCTTTTCTTTACCGCTGCACTACCGAAGTGGCTTAGAGAAACGTTACTCCAGTTGCAATATATGCACTCAAGTACCGGAAAAAATTTGTCGCACCGCGACTGGAAAAGCTAGTATGATGTCACGGGATCACATAACCACTAATGTTAACAGGGTGTCTAGCAAAATATTATTTTGAAATTCCTTGACTTTTCCAGTTTTCCCCGACAATTTCAGAAGTTCCCTGACCACTGTAGAGGTGGTTAAATATGCAAGACCATTACAGCACAAGGCAGTGGGCATTGAGCACTGTCAGGATCATTTTGGATGGGCTTAATCCATCTTGCCTATACCGAAATATTCGGGTTTGTCCAGTCCAGATTAAGCAAGCACTTCCTTGCCGCCCACATCGTCAGTGAAGAGGCCACTTCCAGAAACACAATGAAAACACGACGCTCAACTGCACACGTTCATAACCAAATGGCAGCATGGCCGCCAGATGCACACTTTCGGATACTTTTGGCTTAAGACTTGGATTGGATTGGGGTCTGCGGCTTTCTTATTTGTTACTAAATCTAGTAGCTCTAACTGGATCTAGCCTAGAGTCGTGCCCTCAGTCCAATCCATTCCAAGGCTTAGACTGGATTCTTCGGTTGTTTTCTTTGCATCGGGTAGTACACTCTACACCAGGTGAGCAGAGTCCGCACTCGGCTCTAAGCAGACTTTATTGCCTATTTTTCTGCTCTCAAGCCTTTGCTCAAGGCACTTAATGGTGTGTCTGGCTCATTTTTCCTGACTGTGCCCGCTTTTTGACAATATCCCTGACAATTCCCCGATTTTACCCGGTAATTAAAATTTCCCTGACCATTCCCGGTTTTCCCGGTCGCTAGACACCCTGGAACTTAATCACGTGATTGCCGTAAGTTGCATGACCATGTAATCATTATAAGTTACTTCATCATGTAATGAATGTTGGCGACAAAATCACATAACCACTGTTGGTTACACGATCGCATAGGCTCGAGTGACGTAACATGACGTCACCACGTTTTTCGAGGATAAAATTGGAAATCACACCCCCTGACGTAAGTAATCTTAGTCGCCAAGTATGTGCAGTGACTCAACGGTTCTAGAGTCCAGGCCTCGAAGCGCAAGCAGAAGGAAAAAACAACCCCACATCGAGATACCTCGATACATTGCATGAAGCCCACGCAAAATGCGTCATGAGCATGTGTTCGATTCCTCAGCAGATTACCTCCAAAGCCAAATGGGAAGAACAGATGCAACAGATCCAATCAGATCGAGATAGGGCTACACAAACAGAGGTTCTGCGACAGTTGGCTTTTTGCAAAAGTATCAGCTTTGTGCCAAGTATCGAGGTTTACCTTCAGAGTGTATTGGGATACCGTAATGGATTCAATTTTCGTGAGTACCTGTATTTCGTGAATTTCACGACCTCAATACATTGCCGAAAATCGCTTACGCAAATAAATCGGCCCTAAGGAAGAATACGTGTCACACCACTCGCGAAATTTCGTGCACGCAAAATATTCTCAAAACCTATGCTCGGCAAAACCCACAAAATATCTAGCCCGGGAAAATGGCCATGGGTCCACGGAAAGCGGGAAACCCTCGTTAGGAGAAACGGTCGCCAAACAGCCGTTCTGGAAGCGAGTACCTGGTGGAGGCGGTGGCCGCGGGGTCGGCGCCCCTCTCCCTGCGGAAGTGTGCCACCCTGGCGAGGATCTGCTCGACCTGGGCCTCCCTGGCTGGGGAGCCCCCCCTGGGCAGCAGCTTGACCAGCTGGCTGTGGGGCAGGGGCTCCACGCACAGCAGCTGGACTATCTCCCGCTGGAGCCGATCAGCCTCGGTCACTGCCCCGACCCCCGGCAGGCTACGCTCGCTCACCAGCGTCAGCACCAGGCCTGGAAAAGGGACCGAGCTCCTTCTAAAACGCCCTTCGTGACCCTCTCCCCTTCTTCCCTCCGTCGCCATTCCTGGAGGACACCGTACCGCAAAACCTGCATTATTTCCACACATTTCGTCTTTTTGGACAATTCTTCTTTGAAGCATCGCTGGTATGGGGCAAAAAAAGCTACAAAAGCCAGCAGCATGATGCCGCTGTATTCCGACTGGCAGAGGCGCACTGGTTTGCCTCTCGTTTGCAGATCGTACTAGATGGTGCTCCTCGCTCGAGAAAGGGTTATTTGTCCGACTGTATCTTGGCGCATATTGCGCAGCAGGGCACGTCGGCGTAACAGTCACGCGACCCAGTGTCACGGTGCCGGATATGTAAAGGTGTGGATGTCCCAGCTGCCAGATAAAGTCCTCTCCTGTCCTTGGTTGCAAGCAGTGCCACCAGATGGCTCCTTGATCTTTCACCACGTGGATATGGGGTCAATTTTTATCCGCCACCTGCGCGCACGATATCAGCTTCCGTAACACGCGAGTGGTTCCCGCGTGTATGTTGCACCGTGGAATGCAAATCTGCTGCGTCCGCAACCTGCGGTATCCATTACCGTGACATAAAGTTTGTAGTGGATTCTCGCATTTTTGTATGCAATCTGCATGCGCAATCTCGATTCCATGTGAGTTGGTCCCGCGTGTATATTGCATCGTGAAATATGATTCTGCTGCGTTCGCGATCTGCAATATTTGTTTCCGTAACATACAAGTTTTTAGTGAATTCCCGCATTTTTGTCCGCGATCTGCAGGCACGATATTGGTTCCCATAACAGACAGGTTGGTAGCAGGTTCCCCTGTGTTTATTGCACCATAAAACTCCAGTCTGCTGTGTCCGCGATTTGCGATATTCTTTCCCGTGAAATGCATGTTCCCGGCAAATTTCTGCGGGTGCTTCGCACCGTAAAGCGTGAATCTTCTGCGTCCGCAACCTGCGGTGTCCTTTCCAGTGTTGCAGGAGTTCGTAGCGAATTCCCTCCGTTCATCGCATCGAGAAATGCAAATTTGCGGTGCCCGCGATCTGCGGTATCAGTTCCCGCCTCTCATGGTTTGTAGCCGGTGCCTGGGTGTTTATCATAAATTTTTGATAAAGTTTTGCTGTGACATTTCCAAAGATAGCGCACCCCATGTTTTTCACTATTTATCTCTTCATTTCGGGTGGGCGTTCTTTCGGAACTTTACGGTAGTGTGCCCGACTTGGACCAGCCAAATGAACATCGCGCGTAGTGCAAGTGCAAAGTTCTGCATGACATGGTGCACACAGTAAAGGACTTTAGAGTCAAATCAAATCAAGTTTTATTTGTTTTCACATCTCCTTATATGACAACAGGGGACTTAAAACAAAAAGCTGCTGGGTAGCAGCTTGACTAAGGTCCCAGCCCCCGTGCAGTTTGGGGCATCAAAAAGGTAAATAAAAATTTAAAGAGAAGTATTACACAAATGTAGACACATTTTATACAAATGTTTGGTGTAATGTACACTTTAGGCAAAAAAAACAACAACACAATACTTGACAATAAACCACGAGAGCAGTCAGCAAATACATAAAGAAAGCACAAAGGATAAAAACAATGGCAGTATTCAAAAACTCGTAGAGAAAAAATTAAATTTTCTAAACCTTTATGTGAAAGTGCCTCTAAATTTATACTCGTTTTGTAGAGAGTGTTTTGTATGGTGGACAGATTAAAATGAAGCGTCTGATCGAAGTAATTCGTGCCCAGGGCTGAAGCGTGTCTTCCATAAATGACGAGGTGACAAACAAGGAATAACTGAGGAAACTTACGACGTTTAATGGGGTGAACTTATGCCCAAAACAAAAAGGAAACAGAAGATAACAATAGAGCGTCGCAGGCGTCGAAGTCGGCATAACAGCGCGATCGAACGCTGGGGCGAGACTGATTGCACGTTGCCACGCGGAGCCCCATGCACCCCATGGGTTTCTGGAATATTCGGCGTAGAAAGTTGGGCGACTAGAACATTCAGACCTCCAACAAGCAACAGGGTTCTCAAATTTACAGGAACATTAGACTGAAAAAATAAATAAAAGAGGCGTAACTGCCAGGAATAGAACCCTGGGCCTGCGCACGCAAGTCAAGCGCAGTAACCACTCGGCCACACACGCGCTCACTCGCCAACGCGCATGGCAACATGCGGCTCACGGCAGCCTGTCGTGGGCCCAGTTTCCCACGCTGCTTTATGGAAGACACGCTTCAGCCCTGGGCACGAATTACTTCGATCAGACGCTTCATTTTAATCTGTCCACCATACTAAACACTCTCTACAAAACGAGTATAAATTTAGAGGCACTTTCACATAAAGGTTTAGAAAATTTAATTTTTTCTCTACGAGTTTTTGAATACTGCCATTGTTTTTATCCTTTGTGCTTTCTTTATGTATTTGCTGACTGCTCTCGTGGTTTATTGTCGGGTATTGTGTTGTTGTTTTTTTTGCCTAAAGTGTACATTACACCAAACATTGGTATAAAATGTGTCTACATTTGTGTAATACTTCTCTTTAGATTTTTATTTACCTTTTTGATGCCCCAAACTGCACGGGGGCTGGGACCTTAGTCAAGCTGCTACCCAGCAGCTTTTTGTTTTAAGTCCCCTGTTGTCATATAAGGAGATGTGAAAACAAATAAAACTTGATTTGATTTGACTCTAAAGTCCTTTACTGTGTGCACCATGTCATGCAGAACTTTGCACTTGCACTACGCGCGATGTTCATTTGGCTGGTCCAAGTCGGGCACACTACCGTAAAGTTCCGAAAGAACGCCCACCCGAAATGAAGAGATAAATAGTGAAAAACATGGGGTGCGCTATCTTTGGAAATGTCACAGCAAAACTTTATCAAAAATTTATGATAAACACCCAGGCACCGGCTACAAACCATGAGAGGCGGGAACTGATACCGCAGATCGAGGGCACCGCAAATTTGCATTTCTCGATGCGATGAACGGAGGGAATTCGCTACGAACTCCTGCAACACTGGAAAGGACACCGCAGGTTGCGGACGCAGAAGATTCACGCTTTACGGTGCGAAGCACCCGCAGAAATTTGCCGGGAACATGCATTTCACGGGAAAGAATATCGCAAATCGCGGACACAGCAGACTGGAGTTTTATGGTGCAATAAACACAGGGGAACCTGCTACCAACCTGTCTGTTATGGGAACCAATATCGTGCCTGCAGATCGCGGACAAAAATGCGGGAATTCACTAAAAACTTGTATGTTACGGAAACAGATATTGCAGATCGCGAACGCAGCAGAATCATATTTCACGATGCAATATACACGCGGGACCAACTCACGTGGAATCGAGATTGCGCACGCAGATTGCATACAAAAATGCGGGAATCCACTACAAACTTTATGTCACGGTAATGGATACCGCAGATTGCGGATGCAGCAGATTTGCATGCCACGGTGCAACATACACGCGGGAACCACTCGCGTGTTACAGAAGCTGATATCGTGCACGCAGGTGGCGGATAAAAATTGACCCCATATCCACGTGTTGAAAGATCTTTATTGGGGCGAAGCTCTGGTGGTGCTTGTCTGCATAGACGCTGAGCCGCAGCATGCCGAGCCTTTTGTTCATTTTCATCCATGTCAGAAAAAGAATGTGTGGTATGGAATGTGGTTATACAGTTAAACCTCGATGTAACGAAGTCGGTAAAATTCGCAATTTACTTCGTTACATTGAAATTTCGCTAAATCGAAATTAGGCTTTAGCATGCGAAAAAAAAATTCCGAAACATTTTACGGGTATGAAAACTCACCGAAAATGACATTTATTTTGGGGCAAAGTGCTCCGCGAGTTTTGCTTACGCCTTGTCCGACAGTAGCAGCGGCGTCATACGGCGTTCGAGCGCCCAGAGCGCTTGCACGGCATCTTGCTGCCCATGCGACGCCGTGTACCTCCTCAGTACGTCCATTGCGTCGAGCACTTCCGAGTGCTCGTGATCTCGGCAGTTTCTTCAGGATGGCGTCCAAAACGTTTGCTTTCTCATCCAAAGAAAGAACTTTACGTTTCCTTATGGCAGCAAGCACGTGAGTGAACCGCCCGGTTGAAAAATAAAGCTGTTTAGTTTAGGCGGTGCCAATGTTTCCAACCTACACAGCACTCTTGACCGCACAGTTTACTCAAGTTTACTTGCCCTCTTGCGCCCCTTGCGCCCACAGTGTGCTTGCGCAAGATGATAATCGGTCTTCTCCTAGATGGCAAGACGATAATCGGTCTTCTCCTAGATGGCACTGCCCGTGCGGTCGCGCGGTCGCGCCATCACGTCGCTCCCCCCGCTGAAGTTTGCTCCCGCGCTACCCGCGGTACAGTGGACTATGATGATCAGTGAATGTCAGTGGTGATGCTGTTATGCCGTGTTAACTTTTTGCTCGGCATTTTCTGGCCAGCCCCGCGGAATCCGCTTTGCCGCATGCCTCGCCGGCGCTACCGGCGCCGCATCCTCGGGCAGCCTAGGAACGTTGGAAGGCCTGTCCCCGTGAAGTAACCTATCAAGCGCTCGCGTTTGCGCATAATTTTTTTTTTAACCACAATTTTTTTGCGAAGTTGTTTTTTAGAGTTGATTTATTTATTGCCTTCTATGGCAATGGCGCTTCGTTATATTGAAATAGCAGCAAAATAGACTTCGCTATATAGAGACTAAAAATACATGGGGTCTATGGGCAAGAAATTATGAAAAATAAAATACTTCGTTAAATCGAGGATTTCGTTACATTGAAGTTCGTTATATCGAGGTTCGACTGTATACGCATTTAAGCATTTGACTGCAGCGCCCTCTCGTCCACAAACTTTGAGCCAATGCGTGCAAAGCCTAATGCGATTATATACGCATTTGACCGCAGCGCCCTCTCCTGTATAAACGTTGAATGGCTACATGGCTACAGCTCTCGAGTTACTACCACATCTCGGAGCCCCCTACTCGTCTTGCAGTCGTGGTCGAGTGGTTATGGCGATGGACTAAAAATTCATTGGGGCCTCCCCGCACAAATTCAAATCCTGTCAACTGCGCAAAAATTTTTTTTTTTTTATATATATATATTTTTTTTTTTGCTTTACACGAGCATGTGACCACATGAGCACGTGAGCTCATGAGCACGAGCACCAGCAAGATCGATGTGAGCACGGACGCCGGACGGACAAGGCTAGACCCTAAGGAGCTTCGCCCCTAAAACGCGGGAATCCAATACAAACCTTATATCACGAGTATGGATACCGCAGATTGCGGATGCAACAGATTCGCATTTCAGGGTGCAAGATACACGCGGGAACAGCTCACGTGTTGCGGGAGCCGATATCGCGCGCGCAGATTGCGGACAAGAATGCGGGAACTCGCTATGACCTCGATTGTAAGACATGCCGGTACAGCAAGTTGCGAGGTTGATGCGATTTCCTTCGGGCATCGCGTGACATCCGACGGGAATCAAGGGGTGGGCGATGTTTCGGGATTCTTATTTTACGTATATTTATTAAAAGAAATGGCATGGGCGGTCTCTTGGGGCGGGCATTCTCTCTGAACTTTACGGTAGGTCGATCGCCATGTCTAGGCTGGTGCGTGGACTCCTGTGTATCCTCGGGGAGAGTGGTGGCCCCCAAGAAGCAAGTCAAGTGTCGACCTCCGCTGCATGCTTCCGGAAGTGCCTTTGGGGTCGGTGGAGAAGAGTGGCAGCCACTATGGCCCGTCGGCTGCACCACCACACCTCTTTCTCATCACCTCCCGTAGGTGGTCGCTACAACTCCGGTAGACTTTGGTCGCTGACACTCGTTTTGTGCCTCAACGGCGGAAATAAGTTTTTAGGAATGTGTTAAAGTCGAGAGATTGAAACAGTGTCCGGCGAGGTCAGAGCAGACGCTATGAACGGAAAGAACGCATACCCGGGTGTCATGAAAACCTGTGGTTTTTCTTGTTTCTCAGTTGTGTTGTCTGGACAGTGGATAACTGCGCTGAGGCTACTCGAGCACGCACCGATAGGACTTTATCCGGCCTATCCCGTCGCAGTGTTCGGCGTGCAGCGTGTCCTCACTCATATGTGCCTGCGATGTCGAGGCGTCGTGGAAACCGTGATGTCCCATGACGTCGCAAGATGTCAAGTCACATGTGACATCATGGTGTCTCGTGATACCGTGACTCGATAGCTTGACGTCGGTTCGCGTGGCATCAACGTGTTGGTACACTTTGTGCATGACCAATGAGAGCACCCGTAAATAGCCATTGCGTGTACAAAACACTTGTCCGACTGGAGTGCGGTCAAAATGACTCTGCCGCGCACCCGTGTACCATGGTTTGCACCACACTGCCCGTGCCTTTGCACATAACTCGAGTTGTTGGTGTCGCGCCAACCCAATACACGTTCATGTTTCCGCTGGCCTCAAAGACACTACAATGCGACATTGGGTCAGGCAACACTTCGACGCAATTAGGCGGGCAATCATAAAGGCGTCCCTTACACGGTGCATACGTTCGCAGATCGACGGTTACTTTGGAGTACCTTAATATCCCGCGCTGAAGCGGCTGATTTCTCGTTTTCTTCTTTTTCTGAGTTCACATGTAGCGAAAAATGGATCAGCGAACCGATTTTAGAATCCCATGGCGTTAGTTATAAGCGGGCTGTACTGCTCACATTTTGGTGCAGCAGGATGTAGTGGGGTTTAGGGACGCGGGGATTACGCACCGAGGAACTCCTCAGCCAGGGCCACGGTGAGGGGCAGGTTGGCCTCGTCGGCCGAGTCGTAGCCGTCCTTGGCCCAGGCCAGCAGGCCGTACTTGTGCAGCAGCTGGATCAGAAACTCGTTGCTCTCCAGCAGGGCGGCCGCCGCCTGGAGCAGGGTCACGTCCCGGTCGTACGTCTCCCCTCGCAGACGTACGTTGTGGTAGAAGTAGATCTGGTTCAGCAGCGAGTAGCCGTTGCGGCGCCACATGCCTGCCCGGAACTGAGCCACCATCACCTGGCAAGACGGGGGCCAGTCACTCCCACAGGCTCTCCCCAAATCCCAAAGACTCCTTGAAGCAGTTTTCAAACTTCTCATTTCAGATGTCGAAGCCCCTTTCCAAATCGCCTAGATGTTGCACTAAGCCTTTCCTTTTCTTGGAAAACTTCCCTTCTTGACAGGTGCATGCCGTCTGCATAGGACAAATGTTTCCCGGGAGAGCGGCGTCTTTTCGAGAGACTAACTGCCACCGCGGTTGACTCTCGACAATTCCAACTCCGCGGAGATGGCCAACCACTTCGAATCGAGCCAACTCACTCACTCCGCGGTTGTTGATTTTTGCTCGCCTCCGCAAATAGGGATGTTCTGCAGTACCTGCAGTAAACCTTTGTCAACTCCAAGCCACAACAACTTGAAAATAGTTAAGGATAAGCGGAGTTTTGAAATAAGCTAGATACTGAAGTTTTATCGCACCGATCGCGCATTATGTGAATTGAACCCTTCCAACAATTGCACCAAACGATTTGACACTCGCACGGTGCACCGTGCCGTGGGGAGAACAAAACAACCGCAACAGAAGTATTAACAAGCAACTTCCGTAAGACGAGACAGAAAGAATGGGAAGAAAGAAGAAAAAAAAAAGGAAGACGTTTACAACTTCTTGTAACACCGATTTAGAGAGCAGCTCTTGAGGAGGGGAGGATACTGAGGGGTGGGTATGCCCTCCTCCTCATCCGTACCCTCTCCTCCTCCTGTCCTCCTCCCTCCTCCCTCCCCCTCCCCTCTCCCCTTCTCCGCTTCCGAGGTGAGGAGAGGGAGCAGACGACGATGCACAGACTGCTGCCGGCGGCCTTCACACCGTCGTCTGCGGCCCGTTCTGGGGGGCTGCTCAGCAGCGGCTGCAAAGTGCAGTGGTCTGCGACTTAGTAAACTTTCTCAATTCTGTTATTTTTAAATTATCAAAAATTTCTTTTTGGTAAATCCACATAAATCGCTCAATTTCCGTCGCTAAAAACAGACGTAAATACACAGAAAAAGTGTGATCGCTTGGCTATAAGCCGTTATTTCGTTATAACCGATTTCGTTATAAACGGGTGCGACAGTACATTTGTATGAAACCTAGTGGAACTGACATATAACTGACATATATTAAGCAGATCTACTTAACATGGGGAACTTTGGAGGGTTAAAGGCTGTAGGACGAATTATGGTACCAGCAACGCCCAAAAAATGGGCGTTGCTGCGTGGTGTGGACGGCACCAGAGTCATCACCCACCTCCCTGCCACCTAAAATTCATAAAAAAAAGTGGGGTGGGCCATGTCTCGGTGGATAAGCACAAAAGGTTAAAAAAATAGAAAAAAAAAAGCCCATTTTTTGTGCATATTCAGTGCGGCTGCAGAAGACATACTCAAAACTCAAATTAGTTTCATTGTTTTATAAAAAAAAATGCTCATGAAAGAATGTTTTATTATCGCGAAGTCCGTTGCTTGCATACGCACCACGAACACCGCCGATCGGCATACAGCACGAACGTTTGTTCCGCAAAAGCACGTCACACCGCTATGTTCTCCTTGTTAGATAAAAAAAGAAATCTACAAGAAAATAAAAAAAACAATTAGGCGCAACGAGCGGACCAAAGCGACGAAGAGCGATGCAGGAAAAGCGGGAAAACCGGCAATCGCGTTGGCAAATACTTTGACGTCGGGCCAAGTTGAGCACCGTGTCAGTCGCAAGCTCTTGCGCAACTTTCTTGTTTGGTGCATACATGCGTGCGTTCGTACACAGCATGCTATCAACGCGGGTTAAGGCGGCGTAGCTGAGTGGCGAGGACGGCACCATGAACACGGAGCTCCAAATGGGACGCTCTACAAACGTCTGTGTGCAGCGTTCCAGCAAAGCTTTATTTACCCGTTGGCTTTGTCTTAAACATTGTAAAACCGCCGTCCCAACGTGCCGGGGGTAGAAGCGGGTTCGCGGCGACCTTACTTCGGCGGAGACAGACTCCGAGGTTACATTCCGAGATATGGAGCGTTCGCTTACCTCGCAATTCCTGAATGGGTTTCTGCTTGTGTCATCTTTCCAACTTTTTTTTTTTTTTTTCTTTTTTTGTCAGATTTTTTTGTAAGCAAAACAAACTTTCATTCTGTTATCTCCATTGTTTTCTTTTCGCACGGATACACTACGACTTCGAGGTCGCTCACGAAGGAAATGCGTAAACAAAGAGAAGTGTCTTTCTCTCCTTCGTTTTATTTTGTCACGGACCTCCTCCAACTCTAAAGTCGTGGCCGCGTCATTCTTGTAGGATGAATGTTCACGCATCGCAAAGTCAGCGTTGGGGTATTTGAAGGGGTAGGCAATGACTCGAGTGTTTTTTTGGAAATCAATATTGGCCCAAAAAGTGGCCGTGGGCGATGACTTGGGATATTACGGTATGTAAATACTACATTATATTGTAACTAAAATGTTAAATTACCCTAGACAAAATAATATTTGTATAGATTCTATTTTTAACGAGGACTTTTGTTCATTTCATTTGCTTTATTGACTGTTTGTTTGTAACGTAACTGGTTCTCTAAAATGTTGTATTTGATAAGGTACAATTTTCTACAACTTCTTTAGTGAGTGTTTTTTTTTTCTTGTGCACTGCCATAATGCCATTGCATGCGGCTGAAGGCTGGTCAATATTCCACTGAGGCTTTTTTCCTTTTTGCACTGCCTTATTTCGTGGAAAATAAACTTATTATTATTATTATTATTATTAATTTGTCCTCGTCTCAAGCGCTACATGTTTTTCACCTTTTACCTTTTCATTTTGAGTGGGCGTTCTCATGGGACTTTACTGTAAGCGGTAATTCTATAAAAATGACAAAGCCATCGAGAGGGCAATGGTAGCCTCGAAAGTGTAGAGGAACATTGTGGAACGCTTTGAAGAAATACATAGTCCACCAAACAAACCTTGCTGGTGAGTTCTTACCGAGGCGTAAAAAAAGAACCGAGTTCAGTTTGCCGGGCGTTACTGCGGGGCATTAAAAAAGCCTCGTCCAACTGCCTGCCAAAGAGGAGGGTGCCGACCGGGGTTGCACATCCCCGACTTGATTTCGACGAGAGCTGGGTCACAAGCACAGTATGGACCGTCGGAACTGTTGCTTCACACAAGAGACACGTGCACGTTTCTGTGCACACCGGGCGCCCCAAGGGCCCGCCCTCTTGGCTTTAGTGACTCGAGTCCGAAGAGCAACAAAACCAAGTTGCCCTCGGTGGCTTCGCCAACGTGCTTGCACACACTCCCGTAGAGATGGTTGCAGCTCTGGGAATCCTGCGATAACTCGGCGCGGGAGAAAATTCACTCAAAGCAGTTTAGCCATCTTTCTTCTTCGACTCTTCTTTTGCACCACAAGCTCTTCTCAAATTAGTCCAGTAGGTTTTGCTTGTACTGGAAAACGGTAGACAGTGTCCAACAGTCGACGCCAAAACACCCAATTCCTCGGCGATTTAGGACTTGGGCCAGCCACTTTTTTCAACGGCGCAGACCGATGTAGTATGCCACAGGTGCAGGCAGGGGCTCCCGCAGCTATTATCTCTTCCGGGCTCCCTCGCTCCCTCGACCCGACGGGAGTCGGCCACTTCGCCCGAGGGAGCCGCAAGTAGCACAGAACGTGGACTTCACTCCGCCAACATCAGAAGCGGCGCTCCGCGCACTCTGCCCTCCGTCGCTCGTTCGCTTAATTTTTTTGTTTGCCGTTTGCCTCGATGGAGGAGGGGTAGGGAACGTCTCCACGCGCCCCCTCGTAGGCACGGACGCTTTCAGCACCTCGGCCTTCGTAATAAGTGCGATGGGCCGTCGAGACCCTCGGAATAAATCGGTTCAAAATTCACGGCGCATTTTGGTCGGGACCCCGCTCGGATAAAAGTGATGATTCGGAAAAAAGAAAAGACTGACAACAGAATAGAAAAGACTGACAAGCACCGAAAACGACGAAAACCGAGACTAAGTAAGACAGACACGAGGCGCACACGCAACTCTAGTTCATTCGGAAAGACCAGTACTAACAGGCCCCGTCGCCCAGTCTGATAATCCTCATTGAAGCATTTTTGAGAAAATCAAACTCCTTGAAGGGCGATTGATGCCTCGCACATTCTTTACCATTAGCCCGATTTTCGATGGCTTCGTGCAGTTCTCCACTTGTTTCGTCTTTATATCTAACAAGAACCTTTATGTCGTGCAGCACACGGAAGTGAACGACGAGATGGCCAGACGGGCTTGGTGGCGTGCCAGCCGCGTGCTCATGAGCACAGTCATCGATACATCTGCCCATCTGGCCAATATATACTCTACCACCCGCACGACAGTGGAATCTGATACGCAACGCCCGAGGCACGCTCAGCAAATTCAGTCTCGTGCTTTGTGTGGCAAGGCTCAGAGGGCTGCTTGGGACTGGGGACTTTATGGAAGAGTCATCTTGTTGGGCACCGAGAACAAACACTATAGGAACATTATAGCGCCGGCCCACTTCTTTACTGCAGTAAAGAAGTGGGCCAGCGGCCGATTATTTTCAATGTTTGCAGACCATTGGTGGGAGGAAGAATGAGAGGAAGAGACCTGGGTGCGGAGGGGCAGCTCCATGAGCTGCTCAGGCGTGGGCTTGCCCCGGAACTGGAACTCGTGGGAGTCGTAGCCCAGGCCAAAGCGGTCCAGGCAGAGCAGCAGGCCGGCCACAAAGCGGGACAGAGGCAGGTGGATGGAGACCGGCAGGGCGGCCACGTCGTAGTCCACGCACGAGGCCGAGTGGCCGGCCAGCTCCCTTCCCACGGCCGCCATGGGGCCCTGGGCCCCTTCCAGGGCTCGCAGGGCTTTGCGCAGAGCCTTGACCGCCACCTCCCTGTCCCGGGAGCACCACTCCAGTGCCAGCCCCACCACGGGGGCAAGCTTCAGCTGGATGTTGATGCCAGTCTCCCACTCCGCCTCAAACTCCACGTGCTGCCCCACCTGCAAGGGGCCACCACTACTCAGAGCACCGCTTCCTCGCACCACGACGACCCGCCCCATCCGGGAACTTACGGCCCGGCCGAGTCCCATTAATCCCCTTCCGAGGCCCACGGATGAGCGCAAACGGACCGGTCTCGCGGCGAAGAACAAAAACGGCGACCCATGTCTGGGTTGTTTTTTTTCGCAAACTCCGTAGAAAAATGTAGAGCCCTTCCACTTCAAGTGAAGAAGGAAGACCAGCGAAGCTGTTATCTTTACGACGTCTAAGACGATGCCTAGAGGACAACGTCTAGGACAACCTCAAGGACGACGTCTAGTACGACCTCAAGGACGACGTCTAGTACAACCTCAAGGACGACGTCTAGGACGATTTCAAGGGCGACTTCTAAGACGACCTCGAGGATGACGCCTAGAGGACGATGCCTAGGACGACTTCAAGGACAATGTCTAGGACAACCTGAAGGATGACGTCTAGGACGACATCAAGGACAACTTCTAGGATGACCTAGATGACGTCCGCGACGACCTCAAGGATAACTTCTAGGATGACCTCAAGGACAACGTCCAGGATGACCTCAAAGATGACTTCTAGGAGGACCTCGAAGACAACCTCTCAGATGGCCAAAGTGGCGTTACTTGGAAACGTAGCTCCTTTAGTGGCTCTGGCAGAGACTCCGTGCGAACACCCACAGGACAACACCGGGATGCCTCAAGGGCAGGAATGCCCGCCACCATAGTTTCGGCTACGGGTCGCACGCAATCCTCCGACTCCGAGGGAAGTGCTCCCTCGCAGTCGGGAGTTGGAAGACGGGCTCGACAGCACCCAAGTGCGACTCTGCCAAAGAAACTGCCTCCCTCTCACAGTTTAATAATCCTCAAAGGCACCTCCACCGAGTGCATTACGTGAGAGGAGGTTCTACCGCGAGAGCCAAAGGGATCCAACACACTTTAAAAGGACCGCGAAAAGATATAATTAAAACAGTGCGAACGAGCACAAGGACAAGTAGAAGAAGGGACACAGACACAGCGCTGTGTCCCTTCTTCTACTTGTCCTAGTGTTCATTTGCACTGTTTTATTTATATGTTTACAATGCACCACCGGCTAGCCTACCTCCAAAAATGACCGTGAAAACCCGCAACGTAGCGCGCTGCAATGTACTACAGATGTGTGGCTAGGTGGTGGAAATATCAAGCCAAAATATCGACTAATCGACTTTCCTCGTACAGAAATTAAAAAAGACCTGTTTCCGACAATCTACGGCACCGTTTCGCAGATGATGCCATATGGGGCTAGCTACCTGTATTCGCTGCCGACGGATGGTGCAATGTGAGGCACGAGAAGATGCGGCGCCTCAACCAAACATTTCTGTGGAAAAAAAATAGGGGGTCCCGAGGGATTTAAACGCCTCTATTCGTATTTAGCGTATTTTAAGAAGATATCTCTCACCGAAAATGGCACATTAGAGATCCCCGCACCACAATGAAGGAAGCAGAGTCAAAACTTTCGTAAGATTGCCTGCAAAGCCAGGCGCCGGTGCGCCCTGGATGCGTCCAGCATCTGTCGGCACCATTTCAGACAGAGCCTGCAATTTCCACGAAATGTTGCCATAGATTGCCCGAAACAGGTTCTTTTTTGGATCATTTTTGAATGAGGTAAGTTCATCCGGTGATATTTAAACTCCACACTTACACCGCCTAGCCGCACCTCCACTGTAAATCATAACGCGATACGTTACAAAACCGATTTTCGCGGTCCATTTAAAATGGGTTACATCTCTTAGGCCCTCGAGGTAGTACAAAATATTAATGATGAAGGTAGCCGATTAACACTTCTATTAATGATGTACGAGACATATTATATAGGTCATATGAGAAACGCAAGTAAAAAAGAGTGATATCGAATAAACATTCCGACTAGCAAAAAACACTCGCGAGGCGTGCTTCGTGAAGATCTCCGAATTTTGCCCGATTAGTTTCAAGTAGGATAATTCCAGGAAGACAATTCCGGTCAGTGATAGCCAGGGACTGCGGAGAATTCCGAAATTTATTAGTTATGCGAATAGAGGATTCGCTTTAAAGTTGATGTACAGCGCAAATTGATGGGAGATAGTGACAACTGTCACGAAAAGAGGAGGAATTGAGATTTTGTGAAACGTGACAAGACGAGCGAGTTTAGTTCGTTCAGCCAATGAATAAAGATTTTAGTGCCGTTACGCCCGATGTATGCGAGTAGTTGGGAAATTTTAAACGAGGTGCTTTATTTTTAACCGATTCGATTTTGCTAATGAGGCATGCTAGATGAGGCCAGCAAATAAAGTTAGCGTAGACTAAAGGGGTGTCCAAACAGGACACCACAAAATGCACGACTCCGACAAATCGTGGAAATTGAAGCGGACGCTTCTATTTTTACGGTCTGTCGGAGTCGTGAAAATGTTTGCAGGAGTCGTGAAAATTTTTACGATCACGACTGCTCTCCTCTTCAGATTGACGTCACACGCCACCTGCGTCTGGCTCACCTCGCCAACGCCCTCGCGTACCGCCGTCGCCTCGGCTCGAAGGCCAAGGGTGGATTTGGGTGGATTTGGGACATTCCTGCGTCGAAGGGTGCGTTTCGCCCACCTCGGATCTGCTTTCTTTGTCGAGATTCACTTTCGTCGTGATGGCGTGCGATGCGGTTCCGTATTGTGAGCGGAGGCCTTGAGCGATTGACCGACAGCCAACAGAGCGTGTGAGTGGCTCTCTGGACCCACGTGATGAGCAGAGCAAGGCCGCCGTGGAGGAAGCGAGGGAGAGATTTGACGGGGGGAAGTTTCCCCCCGGGAAGAATTGACGGAGGGAAATTTCCCTCCGACAGCCGGAAGCGGATCGCGGCAGAGCGCGGCACGATTTGCCGGAGTCGTGAGTTTTGTAGTGTCCTGTTTGGACACCCCTTAACTTGAACGTGACGAGAGTCCTGTACGCAGTTAGGTTCACACGACAGGGGGTAAGGTATAAGTTAACAGATCCTAAAGATTTACTAGCGCTAGCTGTTAGTGGCGGCGTATGCAAACTACAGGGGGCACTTCTCTAGCCTTTATCATCATTGTTCGAGACAGAGAGGGTAACAGAGAGATTAAACGCACATTTCGCAACTTGTCAGCTCACTTCGTGCGTTGTTCGCTTGTTTCACGCTTGTTTCACCCATTAGTTTTTTTTTATGAAGGATGTTTGTGGCACGACGTCTTATTGTAACTTAAAGACGTGGCCCCATAGCCGCGCGAAGCACACACCTTTGGTGCGGAAGTGTCGCTGTGGAACGGTGATACACCATTCTCTACCCCAGTACTAACGCACCGGACAATAAACGGGATATCCGACGCTTTACCTCGGTACCTACCGGGAAGAATGGAGTATAACTTTTATTTTATCCCCACGTGAAGAAACTGAGGAAGGAATAGCTCTTCAAGCTGTAGATTGGCGAGCGAGAAGCGTGCGTAGTAAATGCTTTTATGAAAAAGGCGTTCCCCGTTGGTTCCACCGTCTTTTTTGCGAGTTCCAAGTTCCTTTTGCGAACCAATAAACGTGTTTGCCCAAAACAACACGCTGGAAGAGGCGGTGGCCGACTCCCAGGGATGACTAAATGCCCGCTTCTTCACCCATTCGGCTCAAAACGTATGAAACCACCTCCGCGATTGACGCCTGTAAGAGCGGGTTGGCGACGCTTCCGAATGCCAACAATGAGGTACGCGCATGTTATGGTTTATGACCGTTTATATCTTTGTTTTTTGCGGACCCAAAGAATATTTGCGCAAAATGTGCAGTGCGCAGCAAAACTTTTTTTTTTTTATCATCTATTCTTAACAAAATTTGAGAAAACCAATTGACCATTAGTGCTAGTTTGGCAGGCTAAGCCCGGCAATTTAAGAAGTTACGGGAATTTCATCTTTTCCTTCGAGCAAAAGTTACAGACTCCTTTGTAACGCATTGAACTTAAAAAAAAAACAACAAAAGAAACAGTTATTTAGGTTTGGTGCGCCTGTATCGTACGAATAATCGTCGGCAACTGTCGAATTACGTACGATGGAGGCATCGGTAGCGGCAAGCTTCATATGAGCCAAACGTGCGCTGCACCACACAACACAACAGGGCGCAGCTAAGATGACGGCACGTCCTACACCCTGGTCACCGCAAAACAATTTTTCCACAGAAATAGTTTCCCCAGATCCAACAAAAAAAAAAAAAAATTGGGGACGCCACGACAGATGCTGCGCAAGCTGTCAAGTCAAGCACCAGGCTCGTTCCCGAACATTTCAAAGATGGTATCCATTAAAAGTGCTACTGTGTTTCAGTAGGAAAAGACTCCTAGATATGTCATACAAACTTTTTGAGATTATTTAGGAATTATCAGTTGATGCAGAAGCGAACTACTATAATAACTCCGCGCGTCGTCTGCCGGAGTCACACGGGAAACCCGCGAGGCGGCGCTACCGAAACGTCTCGTTGCCAATAGTGTTCATGCGAGCATTTAGAGTTAAGTTGGGACAAAATGTTGCACCTAGGAATGCTCTAGACTTTTTTGAGAGTTCACTGCAAGCTCCTTGGAGCTGCCTCGAGAAAGAGCACCAGTATTTTGCTGAGTGCCTGGAAACCAGGGGACTACTTGGAGAGCCTCAATTGAGAGAGGGGGGCTTACCTGCCTGAGAACCGAGTCCATGCCCTGCATCCAGGTGAGCAGGGTGAGCAGGGAGCCCACCCCATAGAGGAAGCCCTTGCGCAGCCGCTCTGTCCACACGTCGGGGGGCACTGCCAGCAGGTAGCGCAGGTCGTACAGCACGTACTGGGCACGCCGGAACGACACATTCGCCTGCACACAAAAATGCTCCCTTCCTGCATCCTGCACGCTCCATATTTAGAATACCCTCGCGTGAGGCGGACACTGCGGAAATAAGGGTAATTATAAACGCATGGGTTTCCTGCGCGAGAAAAATAACAATAATGTCTTACTCATTCTTCGCATCCACATTGAACTTTTTAGGTGTTGTGTTTTGCTTTCTTTGTGTTGTTGCTCGGATATTGTGATCCCCGTACACTGTATGGAGTAGCTTGTTGTCCGTGCACGATGCTAGACGAGGAAACAAGGAAAGTGTTTATTGGAACATTTCTAGCGATCCTGCCTAACCGCAAAAATATACTCGGTGGTAACGGTGTAAAAAGGGTAACCGAAAGAAGGGTGCATCCTCATATGTTACGCATCGTGGCCGCAATTTCGGAAACACTAATTGATGAAGCGAGCATTTTGCATTGGCTCCCTGTTTACATCCAGGGCTCTTACCCGAACCCTGGTCGGCACCGCAGAGACAGGGAGCACAAAAAAAGGCCAGGTAAGGGCACGGTGGCTTCATCTCATCACGTCGCTTGAGTCTATTTGGGTGGAAAACTCGAGACCAAAGGGGAAACACTAGGCTTGAGGCTATTTTTGGTCATTTTTAGTCTATAGAGAGTTTCACACATACCATATTTTGGTGTGCTGAATGCAAATAGGTTATAGTATCTCTCGAAACTTTCATACATTTTTAGATATGAAATATAATATGGCGAGTCATTTCGCCCAAATTTGAGACAACTTCCTGAGTAAAGATTATCTACTTTAAATTATATGTCAACATGCTCTAGGAATACCAGACAGTGCAGCCATACCACCACTTTAATTTTAGGTCCGTAACAGACCTTATTCATTATTAGCGCCATCTCTCGGCGGCCGCGAGAACCATTGAGCCTCCGTGCCATCTTTGAGGCTTCTCTAATGTTCCCGCCCTGCCTGCATTGCATTCTCCGCGCTTGTCCCTACAATGTTGTTTTTCTGGGATGTGATGAGGGCGTTAGGTACTTCAAAACAAAGTACCTAACGCAATCCTGGTTCAGAAGTTGCTTCTGTTCAGAATGACCCAAACAACACCAAGAATCTATAGGTCACCGAAAAAACTGTTTGCCGCACACAGCGTGACAAGCAATGCAAGACATAGCGTCGTGAAAGAATCATGAGCCGCAGTTTTCCCAGTGTCTTTTTGTTGCTGTCGTTTTGGTTATTGCGGACGTAACCGGCAAAATTGTGGGAAGCAGCCTTAACCAGCCATTAATACAGTAATGTGGAGCTTCATATGAAAACAATTTGACAAAGCCCGCAGTAGAAGCAGGTGGCCCTGCTATTTTGCCACTCGTATAGTCCTAGTACCACACTGAAATTATTCTGAGATCTTCAGATTGAAAGGAAAAACAAACACAGCTCGTAGATGTCCTTAAGTTGGCTTCTTATTTCCACGTCGATTGCACAGCGAGTCGCAGCAGTAGTGGGGCATCACTTTCTCCAGCGCTCTGCCCTTCCCCTTAGACAAGGGTCACCATGTTTGAGGCTACGGAAGAAGGTTGGTGCAACGTCCGACGGATGGCGTGCAATTCTGAATTAGGTCTAATATAAGAGCTGCACTCACACCTCATATGTCGACCACAAGTTTAAGACACAATGATCAATTACGCCGCTAATTAAATTTTACTTTAAAAAGAAAATATCGCGATTTTTTCTTATTTAATTTACCAACTTACAAGTTTTCTGATGCAACAAGAATTGTGCAAATCCAACCAGCATGTCCAAAGATATTGTGGGAAAAAGTTCATGTCGTGGTGAAAAAAGATGGTTCTGAGAAAACAAGGGTTGAAGTTTAGGAACACGCATGTATACTTAAGTGCCTTCGGCAGGAGAACCCACCAGGCACACAGTGTTCCTCACAATTCTTTGTGCTGATCCTTTTGATAGGCACTGTGTTTACGCAGTCATGAAACACAAGGTGTTTGCCGACGCAGAAGGACTGCAGCAAGGGCGAGAATGATTGTGTCTCACTTCCAGCATTCTTTGTTCCGCCTGCGCATTTTTTAGTTTCTGCTCGAAAGTGTTCTGGCATTTGTGCGTCTGCTTTGTGGGCTTCGTAGACCAACCGACCTGAGACAGTGCACCGCGGTTCAGGAGGAAAAGCTTGCGGACAAAGAGCTCACCCCGAAAAAAAAGAAAGGAACTATGAGACAGGCATATCTCCAAAGTCGCGAAAAGGAGCCGAGCAGCGACGATAAGTGCAGTCAAAAGGTACACAATATTTTCTCGGTTCTCGTCCCCTTTTCACTTCTGCTATGCCCTCGAGTGCGTCAACTTTATGTTTGCGTTATAATGGTAAATCTTTTTCTTTTTTTCTTTTTCGGGGCTTCAAAATTTGCCCTCACATTATATTCGCGCAAATACGTTAACGTTCAACGAGTCCTGTTAGCAGGTCAACTTCATTAGAAAGTTTTAGTAGACATTTTGGCTCAATGACGCCACAAAAAAGTAGCACTCCACCCATAAGCACTTTTCGAGCGTTAGTGTGTAAGTGCGGTTCGTGGATTTGTAATATTATATAAAAAATATGCCAATAATGCTTTTTTTCTTCTTTTTCTTACTTTAAAGTAGATGTCTCGCCTGCTGTGGAATGGGGCTTCCACTGTGGGCTGTCCACTGTCTTTTTCTTATTTTAAAGTAGATGTCTCGCCTGCTGTGGAATGGGGCTTCCACTGTCGGCTGTCCACTGTCTTTTTCTTATTTTAAAGTAGATGTCTCGCCTGCTGTGGAATGGGGCTTCCACTGTCCACTGTCTTTTTCTTATTTTAAAGTAGATGTCTCGCCTGCTGTGGAATGGGGCTTCCACTGTCCACTGTCTTTTTCTTATTTTAAAGTAGATGTCTCGCCTGCTGTGGAATGGGGCTTCCACTGTCGGCTGTCCACTGTCTTTTTCTTATTTTAAAGTAGATGTCTCGCCTACTGTGGAATGGGGCTTCCACTGTCCACTGTCTTTTTCTTATTTTAAAGTAGATGTCTCGCCTGCTGTGGAATGGGGCTTCCACTGTCAGCTGTCCACTGTCTTTTTCTTATTTTAAAGTAGATGTCTCACCTACTGTGGAATGGGGTTTCCACTGTCGGCTGTCCACTGTCTTTTTCTTATTTTAAAGTAGATGTCTCGCCTACTGTGGAATGGGGCTTCCACTGTCGGCTGTCCACTGTCTTTTTCTTATTTTAAAGTAGATGTCTCGCCTGCTGTGGAATGGGGCTTCCACTGTCGGCTGTCCACTGTCTTTTTCTTACTTTAAAGTAGATGTCTTGCCTGCTGTGGAATGGGGCTTCCACTGTCCACTGTCTTTTTCTTATTTTAAAGCAGATGTCTCGCCTGCTGTGGAATGGGGCTTCCACTGTCCACTGTCTTTCTTATTTTAAAGTAGATGTCTCGCCTGCTGTGGAATGGGGCTTCCACTGTCGGCTGTCCACTGTCTTTTTCTTATTTTAAAGTAGATGTCTCGCCTGCTGTGGAATGGGGCTTCCACTGTCGGCTGTTTACTGTCTTTTTCTTATTTTAAAGTAGATGTCTCGCCTACAGTGGAATGGGGCTTCCACTGTCGACTGTCCACTGTCTTTTTCTTATTTTAAAGTAGATGTCTCGCCTACTGTGGAATGGGGCTTCCACTGTCGGCTGTCCACTGTCTTTTTCTTATCTTAAAGTAGATGTCTCGATTGCTGTGGAATGGGGCTTCCACTGTCGGCTGTCACCTGTCTTTTTCTTATTTTAAAGTAGATGTCTCGCCTGCTGTGGAATGGGGCTTCCACTGTCAAATGTCCACTGTCTTTTTCTTATTTTAAAGTAGATGTCTTGCCTGCTGTGGAATGGGGCTTCCACTGTCCACTGTCTTTCTTATTTTAAAGTAGATGTCTCGCCTGCTGTGGAATGGGGCTTCCACTGTCCACTGTCTTTTTCTTATTTTAAAGTAGATGTCTCGCCTGCTGTGGAATGGGGCTTCCACTGTCGGCTGTCCACTGTCTTTTTCTTATTTTAAAGTAGATGTCTCACCTGCTGCGGAATGGGGCTTCCATTGTCTACTGTATTTTTCTTATTTTAAAGTAGATGTCTCGCCTGCTGTGGAATGGGGCTTCCATTGTCGGCTGTCCACTGTCTTTTTCTTATTTTAAAGTACATGTCTCGCCTACTGTGGAATGGGGCTTCCAGTGTCGGCTGCCCACTGTCTTTTTCTTATTTTAAAGTAGATGTCTCGCCTGCTGTGGAATGGGGCTTCCACTGTCCACTGTCTTTTTCTTATTTTAAAGTAGATGTCTCGCCTGCTGTGGAATGGGGCTTCCACTGTCGGCTGTCCACTGTCGGGCCGCCGGAGATTCGGCGGCCCGACAGTGGACAGAAGCTTTGGATTCTCCGAGGAACACTGCAACGTACCTGGTTGCGCTCGAAGGCGAGCCGGCCCTGGGCATTGCGGTGCTTCTCGCACTCGGAAAGGAAAGTGCGCAGCAGCACGGCCAGGGCGTTCTCCTCAGCCACCAGCAGGTGCGCCAAGGTGGGCACCGTGAAGATCTGCACCGACAGGGAGGTGACCGACACCGGGTGCTCGTGGTCGTCCGCCACAAACTCCTTGAGCAGGTCCGGGTAGTCCCGGGTGAAGGCCACGGCAAAGTCCCGCTTGCAGCGGCCGTCCATCAGCATGCCCCCGATGAAGAGCTGGTGGAAGGCCGCCCGGGCCGTCTTCCACAGCTGGGTGTCCGCCCGCATCACGCAGCGCACCAGCGGGAAGCCCTCTTCCGGCGTGGGCTCGAGCATCACCCCGCTGAACACTAGCCGGAACGCTGCGACCGCCCATTGCGTCAATTCCTCTCCGTTTCTAGACTAAACGACGTGATTCACCCGACGCCTCTCCGCTAAATTTAGCAGAGAATCCGACATCGCATCGCAATGTCGAACGACGTTTCTCGGCTAAGTTTAGTGGGAAAATTGTCGATAGAAAATGTGGCTCACTAAAAAAAAAACGCGGAGTGCCGCCGCACCTTGATCGCATTTGGCGTCTACGCCAAGCAATCTTTCCAAGTGCCTGCTTGAGACACCAGAATTAGAAACTCTCCCCGAGAAAGAACATGTTGAGCCATTCCAAAAACTGATTCCATTTTAGGGTCTCGAAAGAGAAGCACCTTTTGGAATCATCTACTAAAAGCGAGTCTCGCGACAAAAACACGCCAAATTTTGTTTCCTGGGGGTTCCTTTTGTGACATACCTCCGTGTTGTAAGCGGACAATTAAAAAGAAATGTTTTTTGGGGTTGCGCATTTTAAATCTTGTCTTACCCCAATGGTAGGTGGGGAGGAGGGAAGCGCGAGCGACGGACGAGCAACGGGCAGAAAAGAGGTTTCGGTCGTGGCCCATCGCCCGAAACCCCATTGGGTGGAGCAAAGCTTCGAACCAAAAGGTGCGATTGACGGCACGCAGATAAACTGAGAATTGCAAAGCATCGCACCGGCTGGCTCCGTGACATTAAATCCACACGCAGCCAGTACACTACTTGCGCTTGGGCACTCTGCCGCTCCTTGAGGAAAAGAAAATCCCAAAGAGACTAAAGGACCGCTCATTCCAAAACGGGATTGTTTGAGACATAGCTGCCGGTAGTCAACGACTTTTATGAATGACAACAATACTGCCCCTACACTCGCAAACTCTCCGAAACAAGGCGGCGGTAAAAGAAGAGCCGTTACCGAGCTCTCACGACTGTCCATGGAGACCTTGTCTACACCTTTGTCGGAGGTCTCTTCCACAACTGGATGCAACGGAGCTCATAAAAAGGTTCACGACGCATTGCGTATGCTGCATGGCACAGCGAGCCAGGGGAATTCGTTGGATCCAAAGGGGCCAGCACCAAGGGTGGTTCCCCGAGTGAGCACCTTCCGCCGTACCAAACATTTAGTTAAGGAAAGCAGCCCCCTTCCTCAAATTCTATCACATACTACAGTGGAATCTCGTTGACATGATTTGGCATGATACATTTTTCAGTATATTACGTGGTTTTTGTAGCGTGAGCTACACTGGCCAAGGTTGAGCAGTTTCGCGTGGCTCCTCCAGAGCCGTGCTGCGCATGTGCGAGGAGCAGTGACATCACACAGCACACAGCTGGCGCGCCAGAGCCGCCACCGCCGCGCCAAAGCCGCCACCGCCGCGCGCTCCGCCGCCGCGTTTGCCTGGCCAGTCTGCACATTCCAGAGGACGGACGTCATAGTCGCGGCAGACGCATTGGCCCCGCCGCGTGCGCAGCTGTGCGCCTCCGTTGCGCAGTAGCCAGGTCTGACGCTACACCGGAGCCACCTGATAGCGCCCCTCATTTTGTGTGCATGCACAGAGGTACCAGTGGGTATACATATAGCAGGGTGTCTGCCAGTGTGGTATAACCATGGAGAAGGAGAGCGAAATTGCTGCGACGCAGAAGAGCGGAGAAGCTTAACTCATCGGATCCCGAAGTAGTTGCCTGGCAATTAGCGGTTGAGCGTAGGAAGAACAAACAGAAGAAGGCTAAACGTGCTGCGGAGACACCGGAGTAAAGGAAGGAATGTCTAGCAAAGCGGCATCGCCAGGAGGCTGAGCGACATGTCCGACCACTCACGCTACGTATATCCTGGCATAGCCGAGCTAAGCCACTGCAATTTGTTTTTTCATTCCCAGCCAACATCCCATAGGAGAAATGTACTTTGATACAAAGAATACAATCATAGTTTTGCTTGAAATCGAATAATACGACTCCAAAAGCGGGTTCTCACGGGCATTTAAATAAATTATGTCTTTACATTCCAATACAATGAAATCACAAGCTCAAATCACATCCTAATCAGCCACGAACGGCCCATTGCGCAGCCACAGCAAGAGAGCCACAGTTAACGCTGGGGAGTTCCAACATTACCGCCCAGTCGGGCGTTGCTGTTTGCCATCAAACGGAAAGTAGCGCACTCTGGTTTCATGTGGCTGGGTGTGCGTTGCGCCCGGTAGGTAGCATTGGCAGTGTTGGCCACCTCTTGCACTATTTTTGCGTCTCCGCACATTTTTTTTTTTTTTTCCGAGTGCACTTTGTTTTGTTATGTCTATTTGTTCTCTGGTGCTCCCTTTCGAGGCTCTCGTGATATTGTTGGCCACCATGACAAGCCCCTGTCTCTAAAAGAAAAAAATGGACATTATCTGCAAGGTCGAAGAAGCGCAAAGACCTGGATTGCCAGTTTCAACTCTTAACACTATCGTCGGCAAGCGGGAAGAAGTCCGCAACAAGCTGAGAGTCTTTGGCGCCAGTGTCAAGCAATTGAGAGGTACGCAGCATGCACAGATGGAACAGATCCTCCTGGCTTGGTTTAAAGAAGTATGAGCAGCACGTGTGAACATCGACGGTAAAGTTCTTCGCAAGAAGGCTTATGAGATCGCGAGCTGGCCGAGCTGGCCGACCAAACTGCGGATCTTTTTTTTTAACTTTGAAAAGAACTTGTTTATTGATATTGAAAAGAAAACCCAAAACAAAGTGACCGACTATTTGAAGGCTGCGGAATAAAAGCAAGTTTCTCACCGGGTATGTATATTTTATTAAATTTTTTTAGCTCATTTTGGATAATACGATTTTCGGGTAACACGTTGCATTTTTTGGTTCCTGTGAAAATCGTATCAACGAGATTCCATTGTAGTAACATATCGATAATTTCATTGCAATCAAAGTTTCCTCTGTACTTTGCTGCAGGATATAAAAAGCTCTGCCTAAATAAATTCCGAGGACACCTCAGCACTTCTTATGAGTTGTGAATATGAAAGCATTCTCGGTGCCAAGAGGAGCAGAAGCGGCCGCAGCGCCAGCACAGAGTGCGGCGGTGCACCGCACAGATTGCCCTGGCTTGCTGGTGACTGCTGCGCCGCTGAGTCAGGCAGCAGCGCGAGTGCGAAGCTCGGCGCGGTGCATGCTGAAATTAGGTGTCCTCTCATCATCACCATAGCCCTAGCTGCGGGTACCGGTTGACAACATTAGACCTTAAAGCATAACGATAGGCCTAACATTAGGCCTAACATCAGGCCAGCACATACCTGAGTCCTCCCCTCCTGCTGCACCGCCAGCAGTTGGGCTGGCCTCTTAGTAACGGTGACGCCGTTGCTATAGAGCCACATCACGCGTTGCAGCCAATGGGAATTTAGGTGCCGTTGCGCTGCTACAGACAATGCCTGCTTCGCTCCATAGGACAGTTAATGTGTTCGCATTAAAAGCCCTCCACTCTCCACTTTAGCAGGGTGAATGCTCTACTAAAGTGAAAGTAGAGGACTTTGTGGCATTGACTCTTCTAGTGTGGAAAGAAAGGAGGCCTCTGCATAGGGGGCTTGTCCTTTTCTTGACCTAACACTGACCATGTTTCCCATGTTTAGAAAGAGAAACAAGTGAACCGTGAAAGCCGCAGGTTGCACACCCCACGTATTTCCACAGCGAAGTTTCCCACGACAGAACTATGTGCGTTGCAAGAAGCCCACTTTCAAGTGCTTCAAACCATGCATGTTGGGGACTACATAAATGTGACATTATCGTATCTGCTTTGGACCAAAGATTCAGCGAAAGAGAGCAGTTATCCAACCGGCTCGCACTACAAGCTGCCCGACACACGGCGAGCGTAATAAAAATTTCTACGTCTCTGCGCCCAGATGCGACCGATTCCAGACAAAGCGAGCATATTTACGCGTCAACTGGGCCGCATTTCGTCGCATCCGATCCGCAAAGTCCCACTTAGGAATTTTCCCAAAAAGTAAATAGAGTCGGACTCACCCTGGCACTGGGAGAGGAAGCCCTGGAGCCAGGACAGGAGCCGCATGGCAAAGGTCTGGTGGGCAACCACGGAAGAGTGCATGACCAGCACCCGCAGGGGACGGCTGCCGTGTCGGGACGTGAAGCGCTCAATGTGCTGCTTCACCTGCACGGGAGTCCCAAAGGGTGCCCTGATGGACGTCTGGTTTTACAGCCAGAGCTGCCCAAGCACGTCTCGAGCATTTACCGCCTCCTCAAAAGTCCCTTTCCGGCCGTCGAACGAGCGTCACGCCGTTGTCTGCCGCAACCTTGGTGGTGCTGCACTTCCCTCTCTGGATTCATGGTCTGCAAAAGCTTCGGCAGCCGCAATGACGGCAACGCTCGCTCTCCCTCCCACTTTTTGTACAAACATGTACCGGCAGAGTTACGACATCCGACGCGCGGCTTCCCGCGACGTAACAAGTCGCCAATTGGGGACGCACGGGCGCTGTAGAACGCTTCCGGGACGTGCTCCGGGCAGCATGCCCCAGTTGACTCCTTCCACTTTGCTGCCTCTCCTCTCCATTGCATTTGTAGCAAGCTGCGAGTCTGCTTTCCTCTCCAGATTCTACCTCTGTCCTTAGTCAAATGCACGCACAAAAGGTGTACCAATGGAACAAAACCTCTATAGTTCTGCCAATCGTTGCCTGTACCCAAATACGGCTCTTTCGTGCTTCGCTGTCGAGGCTAGCGTAATCTCCTTCACACAAGAGTGAATGAGATGCAAAACCGAGTCGCGGCAATGCGGGGCTCCGGCACCGTGGATGCTGCGCCTCGACGACTGAGTACAAAGCAGTTGACGCCTAGTACAACAAAGGCGGACTTTGGAGGTCTGGCAGCGCCATTCGGCACGGTGCCGACTTCGCATCGTCGGATGTTGGCACGTCATGACCGAGAATGCACGACACTCTTCGAAACTGAGCCCAAAAGTGAGCTCGCGATGCAAAACATAAATGCGTAGAAAACCGAACGAAATTGACGGTTATACTTTGATGCAGACTATCGGTGTGCGTTTCTGCATTCATTCTAAATCTACTAAGCAAAAAAAGTAACAATCGCGCAAATTGAATAAACGTAAAATTGTGAGTTAAAAAAACTGGATGAGATTAAATAGTTATATGAACGAAATACCATTACAAAATGTAAAAAATTCATTATCGTAGAGAGTCGCCCAAATCAAATAAATGATGAGAACCTACAAAACTATCGCATTATGCGCTATAGAGTTTTGTATAAAAGAAAACGTCCATTTTCATTTCCATTTCTTTTCTCGTCGAAAATTTGGCAGCTCAACCAAAATCGGTAGGGAAAGTAGACCTTAACCCACGAAATCGGGAAGAATATTTTAGAGCAGCAAACATGCGAAGACCAGCTGGCACGCCGACGAGCATCCAAACGCAAACCTGCGGCGCCGATTCGAGGGACAAAATTTAGGTTTAAAAAAAAAAAAACTACCGTATGTATTTGAATATAAGTTGACCTTTCTTTTTTCGCAAATGTAAAAAGTTAACTCGAGCTACCATCGTAACCAGAGAATTTTAAGCTACATTCGTGACCAAATTTCAGGACCCTACTGAGCGAAGGGGGAAGCGAAAGGAAATGCTTGGCAACGCACCTTGCCCTGCGCGGATGAGAAGCAAGACAAAATGCTAAGGTTACTTGCGGTTCGCACTGCTCACGGCGGCATTGCTCACATCTTTGTATATGGTCTTTCCTCATTTCGCCCGTCTCCGCCTTCTTTCGTTTCTTGTTGTCGACATTTCGCAACGGTGTCGGTGAGGCATTGCTGCGAATTTGTGAGGATGTCTACGAAGCTTCCGACGACCATGACATGTCCGGCAGTTTTGCCGACGATCAAGTGCTTGACATCGTGCTGTGATTTAGCTCAGAGCGTTGAAAAGAAAGATTGATTTGTTTCTTTTGTTCAAACTTTCGATTTGATTTGTTTCTTTCGTTCAAAAATGGAGCCCAGTTTTGCCCATTTCCAGTTTCTGGTGCTCATAGAGCCCCATTTTCCCACAGACATTTTCAGGAAATCAATTATAACTTTTGATTAATATATCGGATCAAGCTGAAACTTTGGCACCTGGTTGTGACCTCTAGCTCTACCTTTGGGCGGAGAATGAGCGTTCGGCGATGCCTAGTTTATTTTTGTGGTAAAGAAAAACCTGTATATTTTTTTTTTTTTGTGACACCCTGTATATACATTTTACATCATGCCCCAGTGTAAGCCTTCTTATTCTTTCTGCAGCCTTCGATTTTGTCTTATTCTGTCAGTGCAATAAACTCGTGTTCACTATTGAAATGCCTTTATTGTTTAGTAGTACTGGTTAGCAAAAAAAAAGGGGGGCGGGGTTTCCTCAGCCCCATCACCTACACACTAGCGATAGGGCAGAGCAGAGTACTTCAGTAAAGAAGAAAGTGAAAGAAACAGCAAGGAAAGTGCGAGAGGGAAGAATGCAGGAAAATAGGTCAGAAAAATAGGACACAAGAAAAGAAAATGCGTTTGACAATTCACTGAGAAGTTTTTTGCTGTTTGAGGCGAGGACGAGAGTTTTGAGGACAAGGACACATAGGGCTAAATTAAAGGAGACAAACAGATTATGTGCCGCCTGCCATAATAAGGAGTTTTAGAATAGCGCACGCTAAAGCTTTGCGTACGCAAAGAATAGCGTCGTCGCAACTGAGCATGCGCTGAATGCAAACCACAATTTGCGCTTTGCGCACGCTATTTTAGCTTACACTATTTCTCAGAAGTTGCGTGCGTACGCAAAGGGTCTTTGCACTCCTCCAAAAGGGATTTGTGATCAGAAGTTGGCTAAAGCCAAGATGAGCACAGTTAAAAAAATGGCGGCCCCCAGGACCATGGCTGCAGCCGCCTTGGCGAGGTGTAAGCGCAACGTCAGTGGCATACTTGCGACTGCAATTTTCAATATGGGACGACATTGCACTAGGTTTGGAAAACCCAGTAAGGTGGGCAAAGATCACTAGCAACTTGATGCTTGCGACGAGCGAACATTTATCCGTGAAGGTCAGTACACTCTCGCCGAGGCGACGCAAGCGGACACGACTGGTCGATTGCTCACGTCGCATTCTCACATTTAAACAAATGTAAAATTGTTACTACGAACCAAAAATCTGAAGTTACAGCATTTCGTGTGTGAAATAAAAAGTGTTAATGTATCTTGGTGGCGTTGCAAGCGCGAGATGCTTGGGCTTTTGCGTCGCGGTGGAAGAACGCTATTCTAAAACCCCCTTGCGTCGCGTGCACTAATGCAAGCGTTAAATTTAGCACTAGCGTGCGCTAAAATTGAGTACATTATTCTAAAACTCCCTAATGATAGCGAGACACTAGAGCACTTGGTTTTGTAGTGCACGGGGCTTCGCCCTGCCCCCCCTGAAGGGGTAACTGATTTGGCCGGGAATCTGGGTTTTGCTGGCGACGAATGAAGGACGCTAGAGGAAAGGATTACAGTGACAAAGAGACGATTAGAAGATTGGTGGATATTATGTAGGGAAAAATGAATGATGCACAACTAACTAGCACAGCTGGGGACAGAGGAAAATTGGGGCTCCTTCCTGCGTGCCTCCGGCCCAAAGACTGAACCCTGTCTCCCAGTGGGTCCGGTGCTGGGTAACGCCGAAAAAGTTTGACCAGGGGAAAATTGGCGACTCCCTCGCCGGGGGGAAGAGGCAGGGGTGATGGTTTTAGTTTTCTTTTTGCCGATCCTCCGAAGGTCATCCTGGTGATATCCCACACTGCCTGGTGATAGTTAGGGGGAGAAAATTGGTCTTAGACGGACGGGAGGAATCATACGTTGGGTCTTTTTAGACTTAGGCTAGGTGGTGCAAAGGGTATAGCATTAACATCCATCCATCCGGGACTTTTTGAGGCTTGTTGGGGTCCCCTGGAATGAAAAGTTTGAGAACCCCTGCGCTAGGTGATTTTCCAGCTCCCCGCCACCCTCCCATTGGTAATGACCACAGATTGGTTACACCTGGTTTCAAGGTAAAGGAAAGGAGCACAGTCAAGGCCCAGGAAGGTACACGCAGAGAAACCTGGAGGCGGGACCCACCTGCAGGCAGTCTGCGAAAGAGGAGCTGCGCACAAGACTGCGGCCCTCCCGGTCCACCGTGGTGGCGTACTCTATGGCCTCCCGGTGGGTGCACTCGATGGCCCGGTTCAGCGTCTGGATCACCTGCCACAACACGTCGGAGCACGTCACCACCAGGCATCCTCAACCACCCGGTTCAGGTCGAGTCTTCCTCGGGGGAAACAAGCACAGCTCTGCTCCATCAGCAAGCAGTCGCCCGAGTTACGAGGAGCTTCATCCCCGTCTGTCTGTCTTAAGTCAATGCCATAGAATGTGTTCCCAACTACGCCGGCTGTTGACTAACCTTGCTCTCTCGCCTCAAGAGTCACTCTAGATTTCCCCAAAATTCAGTGGATTCTTGTCCTGCACATCTGGGAAAAAATGTTTTCGCGCTAAATTTAGAAAAGAGCCTCACTTGGCGTATAGTTATACGCCAATTTTTAGTAATTCGCAAGTTCGCTAAATCTTGCACCTTTGCGTCATGCTCCCGCATTACACTTGCACATTACACGCACGCATCTACACTTTTTGGGGACACCTTTTATGAATACGCGAATGAAAAACAAAACTAGGAGGAAAATGTAGACAGCACTGTCGTAATAATCGCACAAAATGTAGACAGCACTGTCGTAATAATCGCATAACCCTTGGCCGTACATTGTGATCGCTGCGAGTGTAACCCAAATTTTAACGAAATATAGTGGGAAGCGGCGCAACAAAAATCAAGCCCGAAATTCCAGAGGCCTTCAAGGTAAGATCCCATGGCACTGATGTGTGCATCAGTGCCCCCTCGTTATACAGATAAGGAATATTCGTATCTTAGAAATTACCAATTAAAAGAGAATTCTCCAACCACAAAACCATAAAAACAAGTTCCGACTTCGACCGTGAACGCAGCGCAGCTTCTGAACCCTGCGAAGCACGTGACCATTTGATTGGCTTCGCTCATTGGAATTTCGGCATATCCAGCAGACGCCACGAAACATCAACAGCTCCCTAGGTGCCTTACCGTCTGTGTACATGCAAAGCCTACATCAGGTTACGAGACCAGCGACCAAAACATTGCCAACTTAAAAAGAGGGAATAATGTTTTCTCATTTACAAAGACGAAGAGGTTGAGGTTGCAACTGCCCCATACAACCTATAGCCACCCCTGAAGAGGTAGGCTTCGAAACATCAAGACTCCTTTTTACGATTTTGTGGTTGGAGAATAGACTTTTAATTTAGTCATTTCACCCAACCAGACAGATCTCTGTCCAAGATGTTCACCATAGAGTCTTAGAAATGAATGTGTCACATAGCAATATGTGCTAGTTTTTGCCACTTCTTCATCTCCACGGTGACTGCAAAATATTTCCCATCCGCATGTGTACCTCAACCTGCGTTCGTGTTTGTGAGTTTTTTTTTTTGTTTTTTTTTCTTCAAGGTAACATTTGGTTGAAAGTATGCCTCATCCAGTCTGCATCTTTTCTCGTGTCCTCGTTGTTCTTGGCGTATAACTTTAAGAATGTGAACGAGCAACTAGACCTACTTGCCGCCTCAATCCGCAAGTTTTAAAATCAGGGTCCAAGCAGTGCCATTGGGCAATGGTTCTGGACCATCAACTTGTCCCAAGCGATGGGTCACTGCGTCCGTAATCAGGCAAGTAGTGTTAGAAAAAATGTGATAGTAATAATGCGCTTAATAGGAAAGGGTGGATTGCTGGGCTTAGTGTGTCGTTGAACGACGAGATTACAAATGGCGCAGAAAGACACCACAAAAGTAGAAGGAGCAGGCAGAACAGCCGCTGACTGAGAACCTATTAGAAATTCCACACGCGTGTTGTCTAGTAAGGGGGAACAATCCTTGCAATATATTGCAAGTGTCGAGCGATGCTCTTGCAGTTTGTCAGGCCTCTCCCCCCTATATACTGATAGCTTATTTAGCCCATAGATAGAATTCCCGAAAACGCCAGCCAAAACCAGGTTAACCACTAAGCTTAATAGGAGCACGTCCTCCCAAGTTACCTATGAAAGCTCGAGATTCCTATATCACAAATTGCATAAAGGGCCACCTACAAATACTATGGAAACCTAAAGACACTTTTTATAAAGTATCCCTGCACATTAGCGGCCTTGAAGCCAGAGTCGACTCCGAGTTCGCCGCCCTTTCGATTGACGGCTACACGGGAACTACATCGACTGACCTATTTATTTGAATATAGACCCGCGTTTTTTACCCCTTTTTCCGCCAGCTTTTAATAATCGACCCAAGATCCAGACCCAAGAAGGTCCTAGCCCCTGTGTCAGCCGACTGTGTCAGCCGCTGCTCCTAGCACTCCCGCGCAAAGCTGCGAAGCTCCCCGCTCCGGATCAAGGCGGTGAAGCTCCATGCAAGTGGCACCAGTGCCACGGTACTTCGTAGCCACGGTGCAAAGGCACGTGGCAGACACGATAATCGAGTCATCAAAAGTCCCCGTCCCGTCTTATTATGATAACCGCCATCCCACCATTTTGCACATTTTTCTGCCAGCTTTTAGCTCCCGACGCGGCCGACACGGTCTTAAAATTCGGATGATGACGAGGCCAGCGCACTTGGCACGCAGTCTCTGAATTTCATTTCCTCTTAAGCCTTAGGCGCAGCCGATGAGAGCACCCAAAGAGCACCAGAAGTGCGACTAGGTGGAAATCTCTCTCGGCGAGTTCTTTAGGCGATTCAACTGATTGAGTGTGGCAAATGTTCCGTGCTCAAGCTTTTAGCGCGTGTGCGCATGTTGAGAGTTGCCAGTGTTCGAGCCTTCCAACGTGCTTTTACGTAAGACAAAAGTAACGTAGAGACAAATACATATGTATTTCCCTTTTCTTAACTTCAAGCGATATTAAAATGAAGTAAATATTTTCACATTTCCCCTTTGTCTTAGCAAAGATTTAATTTTGGCTCAAATGGCGGTTCTATCGCTGGCCACTAACGACCCGTGCTTTCCCCCGACCTGCTCGTAGGTGTGCGCCTCGTCGTTGAAGAGCATGGTGACGAAGGTGTCCTGCTGGACGCCGGGGGCCAGGTCCGGGGGCAGCTCCGTCGACTTGTTCCAGGTGAGCATCTGGTGGCAGTAGAGCAGCACCGCCCGCAGCACCAGCTCCACCCGGCTCACCAGGTCAGGAGGAAGCCGCTCCAGGGGGTCCTCCTCCGCTCCGCCCTGCGCATTCCCCTCTTCCATCTCTTTGGCGACAAACCCATCTGGCGGGTCTCATTCCCTCAACTTAGGATATCATCTTAGAAGTTGTGTCTTGGCCAGTTCACTTTCCGGGAAATTCGGAGCATCTTTTTTCACTCTATTTTAGTGCCAAAAATTTGTGGCTTATCAGATAAAACGGAGGTTCGGGCGAGTTGGTTGTTCATGACTGACATGGAAACAGCGCACCCTCAAAACAAGCACTCTAAGCTTTCATGCACACAAAAGAAAGAACCACTTACACAGCGCTGACTGACAACTCTATGTTATATTTACAATTTTCGTTTTCGTCTTTCTTTGGGACTAGGGTTTCTATGGCAAAAGATTGCCCTTTTCTTCTTCCTTTTTTTTTTTTTTTTTTTTTTCCTGTGCTTTTGTAATAGGAAGCTAAACCATAAAATTATTGTATGGCTAAGTACTCAAGTTCTTTGTTGGACAACATTATGGAAGGAGTGCTGACACATCTCTCCTTTTTCCTGGCAATGTTCTCTGCTTCCATGATTTCTCTTGTCAGCTTGTCGTAGTTCCTGCCTAACACTGTGCATTTCTCCAGCTGCGCTGTGCAGCCACAGTCTCGGCAGTGAATTTCCAGGTGTCCGGAGTTTTTGTTGGTGATAGTGCAGTTGTGCTCACGAAGGCGATCGTTGACGCACCGTCCGGTCTGTCCTATGTATTGTCGTCCACAGGTTAGAGGGAAGGAGTAGACCGCCTTTTCGGTACACTGTACGAAGTTGTTTTTATGTTTCTTCGTGCACTTCGTGCACGGAAAAATCTACAAGTGTTCTCCATCGATATTAAGGACCTTTACTATGCCCTGCCCCAAGACCGTCTCCTACAGTGCATTGAGGAGCGCATAGACACCTATGGCACTATTTCATTCCAGAATGCATCAGGCATTTCCCAAGGAGAATTTTTGAACTTGATTAACCTCTATCTCAAATCCACGTTCGCTACTTGGGATGGTCATATATACCTACAAAAGCAGGGAGTCTGCATAGGATCATGCATTGCCCCTGTCCTTAGCGACCTTTATCTTGCCCACCAAGACAGGCAGTTAAAGCACACCTTGGATACTTCCAAAGTTATCAAAGTATTCCGGTATGTTGACGATTATTTAATCGTACTAGAAACCGATGATCAAAACTTTACAACCATGGTTGCCGAAGTTCTAGACAGCTTTAAAGGCTGCATGAGCCCTTTAAACTTCACGCACAAACTTCCAGTTGACCGCTCGTTAAGATTCCTGGATCTGCGACTTTTTATTTTACCTTATCATGTATGCTGGACCTATGAGCCCAGGGGGGAAAAGCCGCTTCTACCTTTCAACTCGGCGCACTCGAAACTTGTTAAGCGGAGCATTGTGCGGTTAAGTCTCAACAACGCACTTACAAAATCATGCTGCCATTCCATGCAAACAAGCTTCAACGGGCAAGTCTCTCGATTAAAATGCGCAGGGTATCCAACCTCCTTACTAACATCAGTGGCCGAAAGACTCATCAAAGACATCAAGCAAGGGGACCACATTAAACAAAAAGAAAAAGACAGGGCCAAAAAACCGATCATTGTGCCATATATTCACAACTTTTCCTACGCTCTAAAGAAAATAGCTAATAGAGTTAACCTGGACATTGTCTTCTCAGCCCCTAGCAAACTTCATAGCCTGTGCAAGCGAGTAAACACACCCACAAGAACCACAGTCAAGTGCACGAAGAAACATAAAAACAACTTCGTACAGTGTACCGAAAAGGCGGTCTACTCCTTCCCTCTAACCTGTGGACGACAATACATAGGACAGACCGGACGGTGCGTCAACGATCGCCTTCGTGAGCACAACTGCACTATCACCAACAAAAACTCCGGACACCTGGGAATTCACTGCCGAGACTGTGGCTGCACAGCGCAGCTGGAGAAATGCACAGTGTTAGGCAGGAACTACGACAAGCTGACAAGAGAAATCATGGAAGCAGAGAACATTGCCAGGAAAAAGGAGAGATGTGTCAGCACTCCTTCCATAATGTTGTCCAACAAAGAATTTGAGTACTTAGCCATACAATAATTTTATGGTTTAGCTTCCTATTACAAAAGCACAGAAAAAAAAAAAGGAAGAAGAAAAGGGCAATCTTTTGCCATAGAAACCCTAGTCCCAAAGAAAGACGAAAACGAAAATTGTAAATATAACATAGAGTTGTCAGTCAGCGCTGTGTAAGTGGTTCTTTCTTTTGTGTGCATGAAAGCTTAGAGTGCTTGTTTTGAGGGTGCGCTGTTTCCATGTCAGGCTTATCAGAGTTTATTCTCGCTAAATTAGGAATTCTTTCAAATTTCGAGTTTAGTTTTACTGCATTCCCAAATTTCTAAAAAATAAAATATGCATTCGCTCGTGTCAAAGGAGATTTTTTCGGCTCATTTCGGCGTTTGCACTCTTGCCTCCGGAAATACCCGCCTTCCCGCAACAAAACTTGGGAACAAACATCGCTCGAGTAAACGTCGAGACTTTAAAACCACCAAACACCCGGATTCGGTCGCCGGAAAGCATAGAAGCACCAGCTGCCCAGCTCCCCTCGTAATCTTCCGTCATAAAAACAAGACCCCTCCCTTTCGAACGAGCCCAAATATCCGGTCTGGAAACCGGAACAGCGACCTCTGCCGTGACCCGAAATGTGGCGACGTCCCAAAGGAACCTCGACGAGATGTACTAGAGATCGGTCAAAAGGTGTTTGCGAGTGGGCGTAGACTAGGATGACGACGGGAGAGAGAGGCATCTTCCGACCGCGGCGTCCACTTCCTGCCTGCACGCATTGCATGCCGGTCCCCACTACATGCGCTTGTGCAATCCCACCTACGCGTTTGTTTGCCCCCAGCTGCCTCCTTTACCCCGGACGTTACGAAGTGACCTCGACTCGGTTCGTAACTGGTCTAATGAATGTAAAACCACCCATTTCTCTCCTTCCCTGAATCCGTCAAAACTGTGCTGTGCATTTGATTTGATTCAATAACTCCCATTTTTCCAGCGTGTCTTTAAAGGAATCCCACCTTTTCCTCACCCCACTTTCCACACGGTGGAAACATTTCCATCTCCCTATTATGCAAAGTTCTCTACTTGTCATTGTATCACATATGCAATGTCCTAAGACGTCACCACTGGCTCGATCCAACTCCTGGGGGTTTGGGTATAAAAGAGTGAGACCGTCGCAGTATTAAATGGAACATATCTCACGAGTGATCCGTGATCGCTGCTCGAGTCATGGCGCAGCCGACAGGATATTGAAACGAGGAGGCTAAGCGCAGCCGACGACTGAAATAGATCTGTCCCTGGAGGTACTACGCCCGACTGGCAACCTCGAGCAGAACTGGCTCGAGTTTGAGCAAAGGTTGGACCTAAAGGCTATGGGATTCACAAAGAAGAAGGAAGACCAAAAGGCGGCCTTGCTGCTTCGTGTCGCCCGAGAAGCGATTGAGGTCTACAACAACTTTGTGTTCAGGACGAGGAATGGTACACGACCCTGGTGAAGAAGGTCGAAGCCTACTGCATTCCATGCGAGAATCAGCTATACGAGCACTATGTCTTTAGAGGCACACGGTAGCGAGAGAAAGAGTCTTTCAAAGAGTTTCTTCGAGGTTTAAGAACCAAAATCCAGTCGCACAATTTCAGAAGTGTTACAGATTTAATGCTTTGAGACCTAATCGCGTTTGAAATTTTTGACAAAAAACTGCGAACGAAGCTTCTGCGGGAAACCAACCTCACGCTTGACAATGCGATACAAATCTGCCAGGCTGCTGAAATTTCAGAAAAGCAGAATCAAGCGTGGGAAGCAAATGAGAAGCAGGCTGATGTTCTCGGAAGACCAATTGTGGGACAGATGTGCACCAAGCAGAGAACTAGTTGCAATCGTTGTAGGTAATTTGGTTCACGACTCTCAATGCCGTCCCGACTTAGGAAGAACCTGCCAGAAATGTGGGAGAAATGACCAATTTGTGGCGTGCCGTCTCGCGGGTCAACGAGTGGCGGGCACGCGGAACTGCCGCATAAGCAAGGACATTGGTGTGGTATATGGGAAACAGCTTCGTGGGAAAGACGACTTGACGTCCTGAATGTTGGCGCCAAGAAGCCAGAAAGACAGACTGGATGGTGAGCACTTGGACCTTTGGAGGAGGAAAAATCAAGCTGAAAGTGCATGCTCTGTCTCAGGCAAACCTTCTGCCTTATGCAGTGAACATTAAACAGTGCACCAGATTCGAAGCCCAGTCAAGTTGCACTTGGAGACGGTGGATTGATGAAACGCATTGGAATGACGAAACTCTGGTTCAAGATCAATGAAAGAGAAGCTTACATCTACTCTTTTGTTGTGAAAAATTTTTGACAGTCACTTCTAGGACTGAAGGCGAGCAAGATGTTTGGGCTGGCGTTGTGCGTGTACCGCCCATTCAAAAACCATCTATTGCGGACGAGTTCCCCGGAACCTTTGAAGGAACGGATGTGTGAAACGGCACTACCACGCGGTTCTTTGGGAAGACGCCGAGCCATCTGTAAAGCCTGCTCAACGAGTACCTTTGCAGCTACAGGAGCCCTTGCAGGCCAGTGGGACTTAAGGGTACTTGCATGCAACGCCACTGGCGAAGAAACTCATTTGTTGGGATGTTTTTCAAGGACAAAAGCATGCGTTTTCATTCAATCTCTCCTTCGCAAAACTTGATGCAACTGGGGGACTGCAGTACCCAGTGACGATATTTGAATGCGGTTCATAAATTGGACCCGACCATTGCATGAGCACTTGATTTGGGCTCGTGATAATCGACAGCTCGAGAGGCAATCGGACAGTGGCCCGTGTCGAATTGCTGCAATGACGACAACAGCCGAACCGTAACAATGTCTGGAACTCGGAGCGTGTCCTCCGCTTTGCCAACCCTAAAGCGTAGCTATGATCAAAATTGGCGGCTCATAATCGGCTCCAGATCACGTGGCTGCTCGTTTCTCTTTCATTTTTTCTCCGACTTCTATGGCGTGGGGCGAAAAACGAATGCGCGTTTCACGGGTCCTATAGGGGACCCATTCTAAGCGGTATTTCCAAAAAAAGAAGGAAAAATCTTTGGAGAGGGGACGAGTCACCTGCTTGGCCGAGGAGCGTCCGTGCGTCTGGCAGAAGGGGAACTCCTTCCAGGCCTCCAGGTCTCCGCAGTCACAGTAGCCGCCCCCGCAGCTCATGCTCATCTTGTACTTGTGGTTCTTGTGGGCACTGCACGCACGCCCCCACCCCGGGCTCCATATTTTGCTACTTCTCATCTAAAGGAGACACACCCCTTGGAAAGGTCAACTTTTGTACCCTGGGATTAAATTTAACCCTTTCATGGTCACTGACGTACCTGTACGTCAGTGCGGGAGCGTCCCGCATGGTTGCTGACGTACTGGTACGTCCGCGACTGCTCATTCAAAAATTCACGCCTTTGCTTGAACGGGCGCGTTCGCAGGGACGTGCTGCCATCTGGTGGGTTTGTAGGGAACTACAACTGTATAACTCCGGTTGTATTTGTTTTGGCGCGGTTTTTTAAATTGCGAAACTGGACGCTCTGTGCAAGTGATACTTTTGAGATGGCCGCCCGTGCCGGCTGCTCGGGGGTAGTGTAGTGGAGATTGGAGCTATGGCTCTTCGGGTTCAGACTTTGAACCGTTCTCGGACTCTGAGTCGGATGACAGCTCAACATCCCATGAACAACTGGAAACCAGCTGGGTTCAGAGTCCAGAGTCTGACACACAGCCGCACCGTCTGCTAGACCGTCTCAGAAGCGGGCGCGTCAAAGTTTTAGTCTTTTTTGTTTCGTTCTGCCTCCAGCGAGTGTGCCTCAGATGTTTTGAAGCGTGTGTACTATTTATTTTAGGTCTTACATTTTTTTATGCGACAATAAACTAGTGTATACTCTGTGCTATCGCATCGAGTAAAAAAAACCGACCACGGGGGCGCGTTTTTGGACAAAAAATGTGACCATGAAAGGGTTAATGAAATTTACAGGGTAGGTTGGTGGTCACGCTAGAGGATGCATAACAAAATTTCAACTCTGTTGGTTAAATGGGAAGGAAATTAGAGCAGCTTCTATCAGCAACACGCCTACATTGTTCAGTTAATCTATTGTCGGAAAACTATCACAATATTCGAGATTTTTATTCGATAGATATGTAGCAGACTGCCTAGGGGGTGTGGCTATGAAAAGTTTTTTCAAAAAGTCCTTTATTTCTTTAAATTTTCTCTGCAAAATTGGTCAACTTTTTGGTCTTCTTTGTCTTCGACAAAATGTGAACATTTTTTATAAAAGACATCGGTAAAGTGACAAAAAGTTCCATAGCTGCATTACTTATTAAATTTCGGTCAGGAAAAGAGAAGAATGAGCCTTCCCTGTATTGCCGTTATCAAATGATAGATGGACTAAAATGGAATTTAAACCACAACGTGGAACGGAGAAAAATGCATTCAAAGTGCTCCAAACCCTACCTTTTCTTTAGCTTCGGTGGACAGAATATAATTCATAAAAAAATAGCTATGCAGTGTAAACTATTGAAACTTACTTGGAATAGGTACTTCCTAGATGTTGGTGGATGTAAATATGTCATTTTTCAAAATCAACTTTTTTTTGCAGAAATTTCTTTTTCTGGGCAGTGTCCCCCCTAAACACAAAAGCCCGCACACTCCAAAAGGTGCCGGCATCCATCCTATCTTTAGAGAGCCATTTTATTCGAATCAATGCAGATTGTTGGGCTCGTTGGTACTGGGAATGTGACGTCATGATGGCGTTTAAGACAAGGACAAAAGGGAGACTAGACAACACGGAGCGCTACATCAACTGTTTATTTTTGAAAAAGGGGATGACATATATACACTCAAACCACTTCACCTCAGCACGATTCTAGCCAGACACAAGGATAAGATGGCCAGGGAAATAATAGAAGCAGACTCGATAAAACAGTCTGGAGCACAATGTGTCACCGTTGCCTCCACTGACCTGTTGGACAAAGAGATGGCGTTTTTGCGAGCGACGGTGAGGCCTGGGATTGGCTGAGGTAAAGGGATTTGAGTGTATACATGTCCCCCCCTTTTTTCAAAAATAAACAGTTGAAGTAGCACTCCGTGTTGTCCAGTCTCCCTCTTGTCCTCGTCTTAAGCGCCGACGTCACATTATATTCGCACCGCGTCTATGGCTTTGGAACAACCCTGCCACAAAAAAGGACCCGATAAGAATTTTTGCAAGAGTGGTGACATGTTCTAAATGGGAGTTTAAAGGGGTTAGAACACGAAAATTAAATGGGTGGAATACTCATAGGCTTCTGAACATACACACTGCATCAGAGCTCTAGTAACCGCAAAGAGCAATTTACAAATTTTGATCATTTCCATCTGGCAACCAGGCAACATTGCTAAAGTTAGTCACTCTTGGTGCCCATAAACCGGGTGATCGTGAACGCTCTCTCATTCTTATCACCCAAGCTCGCCTCGCTGTGGTATATCAAAACCCGTCCCTCCCTCTCACCCCCAGCCCTTTGAGCTTCCACCCTGCATCAACCGCGAGATCGTCGCGGAAAACGGTGACTACGGCAAGTTCGTCCGCGACTATGTCGTCGTTGCCGGAGCTTGTCGCCGGCGGGTCGCGGTCAAAATGGCCAGCTTCCCAAATCTCTCTAGAACAATCACTCTCGTCGCTGCTACGATCGGCGTCGAAGACGAAGCGAGCAATGCCGAAATCGTCACGAACTGCGCGCCCGAAACGCAAAAGCTAAACAGGGAAGCCGAAGCTCGGGAAATTGAGTCTGCCAGTGTGTGCAAGGGGATGTTGGGCAGCCAACGTCACCAACCCACCAATCGAGGCTGCGTTTTGCAGTGGGCTGGATCTGAGGGTCCCGCGTAGAAATCCATTCCAAAAATATCCTGCCATTTTCAAAACAAATAAATATAGGAACATACAGTGGGTCTTAGCAGTATAGTTATATCTCCTATTTTATTTTCGGCTCGTCCCAACTTCTTTATTTATTTATTTACAATTACCCACAGGGCCCCAGGGGCATTACAGAGAGGAGTGGTTGGTTAGTACAATTCTAAATTTAGAGTTATCGGTGACTGTGTCATCGGAAAGGCCAATGCAGTCCACAATAGCTTCTGGCAGGATGGAATGTTGATGGGCCATTGAAAGGGTCTTGGGGTGGGCAATCTTCCACGAATGATCGAGTCTTGCGGAGACATAGCTGGGCTGGCTGAGGAGAGACTGTCTTAATGTTTCCCAATAGTAAATATTATGAAGAAGGCAAAAATGGGAAATTCTGCGACAAACGGAAGGATCAGGAAGAGGTAATTTCATTGCAGTGACACTAGAAAAGCGAGAGTAATTAGAAAGAATAAATCGAGCAGCACGATTTTGAACAGAACCCATTGTGTTAGTGAAAAAAGACTGACGTGGGATAGCTGAAGCATAGTCTAGTTTGGGGCGAACAAGCGTGACGTAAAGGAGAAGTTTAAGGTTAAAAGGGGCAGACTCAAAATTGTGACAAATGTCGCCGTGTGAGCAGTTCAAAGATGATATTGTCTCGTCGACACAAACATTTCGAGACATATTAGTGGTGAAATGAACACTAAGATACTGTGCAGCAGTCTGAATGATAATGCCATTGAGTGTCAATGAGTTTAAGGGCTGGGAGGAAGAATGTCTAAAGCAGAGGCATTTGTTAATGTTTACAAACATCTAAAATGTGCGGCACGGCAACACTTGGCAATTTTGTTAATGTCATTCTGAAGTGCAAAATGGTTGTCTGTTTTTTTGTTTTTTTTTTAGTCTATAAACGACATAGCCATCGGCTAAAAGACAAACAGAGGACCAGAGGGTAAGAGGGAGATCATTAATGTAGATTAAAAAGAGTAAAGGCCCAAGTACAGTTCCCTGTGGAACACCGGAAGAAATGGGAGAGAAAGAGGAGGATGAGCTGTTAGCGAAAATGAATTGAGAGCAATGACTAAGGAATGATTCAATCCATTTAAGAACAAGAGGGTCTAGTTTTAGTATGGTGCCTCAAACGAGTCTCCGATTGGTGTGTTTACCACGTCCAAAAAAGTGGTCCCTCCATTTCTGCCCGATCCTGCGCGATTCTGGCGGCGTCTCAACAGCTGTTGTGTATGTGACAGACGCTTGTTCTGCTCCAGATCGCTCCCCAGTGTCCACGGAAGCTTCCGGAGCCGCAAGTTGGGATGCCGTGACGACAGGGACACTTAGCATTCTTTCGAGCTTTCCATAGCCAGCATTTCTACAACCAACCGCCAGGGTTGCGACATGCGACAGCATGACACTCCCGCTTCTGTGACGTCATTTGTTGCCACTTCGGGACGACTTTTGGTGTATGGGCAGCATAGGATGCTAAACACACCAGTCGAAGACGCACTCCAGGCACTATAGTTTTAATGAAGTAAGTTTACAAACAAGGCAATTGTGTGGAACTTTATCCAAAGCTTCGGCGAAATCAAGAAAAACAGCGTCAGTAGGAAAGCCAGTGTCAAGATTTTTAAACTAGTCGTTAGTAAGAATAAGTAGTTGGGTCTCACAAGAAAGGTGTTTCTGGCAGCCATGCTGCACATTGGTGAAGAAATTGAGGGCATCGAGGGAGTTAATTGGGTGCTCATAGATGATGTGCTAGAGGATCTTGCGGGGGATGCAGGGGACCAATATCGGCCGGTCATTTAGTGGAGATGTCTTGCTGCCGGATTTGTGGACCGGAATGACATTACCAGTTTTACAGTCACAAGGTATTGCCCCTGTGTCCAGGGACTGCTCAAATATCTTTGCAAGGTAAACATATCGGATGAAAATTTAGCGTTACTGAGAACCTTCGTATTAATAAAATCTATGCCAGACGACGAAGATATTCCGAGGTATTCTATTATGCTGATAACACCTCGAAAGTCTATAACAATTGGATTCATTAGAAAATGGATTCAGGAGGAATTCCAGAAACAGGTGTAGAAACGGTGAAAGCATCAGAAAACACAGTACAGTTAAACCTCGATGTAACAAAGTCGGTAAAATTCGCAATTTACTTCGTTACATTGAAATTTCGCTAAATCAAAATTTGGCTTAGGCATGCAAAAAAAAAATTCCGAAACATTTTACGGGTATGAAAACTCACCGAAAATGACATTTATTTTGGGGCAAAGTAGTCCGCGAGTTTTGCTTGCACCTTGTCCGACAGTAGCAGCGGCGTCATACGGCGTTCGAGCGCCCAAAGCGTTTGCACGGCATCTTGCTGCCTATGCGAGGCCGTGTACCTCCTCAGTACGTCCATTGCGTCGAGCACTTCCCGAGTGCTCGTGATCTCGGCACTTTCTTCAGGATGGCGTCCAAAACGTTTGCTTTCTCATCCAAAAAAAGAACTTTACGTTTCCTTATGCCAGCAAGCACGTGAGTGAACCAAGTGAACCGCCCGGTTGAAAAATAAAGCTGTTTAGTTTAGGCGGTGCCAATGTTTCCAACCTACGCAGCACTCTTGCCCGCACAGTTTACTTGCCCCCTTGCGCCCACAGTGTGCTTGCGCCTTTGCTTTACATCACGGTCGCAATACGATAATCGGTCCTCTCGGTCTTCTCCTAGATGGCACTGCCCGTGCGGTCGCGCCATCACGTCGCTCCCCCGCTGAAGTTGGCTCCCGCGCTACCCGCGGTACAGTGGACTATGATGATCAGTGAATGTCAGTGGTGATGCTGTTATGCCGTGTAAACTTTCTGCTCGGCATTTTCTGGCCAGCCCCGCGGAATCCGCTTTGCCGCATGCCTCGCCGGCGCTACCGGCGCCGCATCCTCGGGCAGCCTAGGAACGTTGGAAGGCCTGTCCCCGTGAAGTAATCTATCAAAGCACTCGCGTTTGCGCATAATTTTTTTTTTTTAACCACAATTTTTTTTTGCGAAGTTGTTTTTTAGAGTCTATTTATTTATTGCCTTCTATGGCAATGGCGCTTCGTTATATTGAAATAGCAGCAAAATGGACTTCGTTATATAGAGACTAAAAATACATGGGGTCTATGGGCAAAAAATTATGAAAAATAAAATACTTCGTTAAATCGAGGATTTCGTTACATTAAAGTTCGTTATATCGAGGTTCGACTGTATTTAAAATGTTTGCACATTCACTATTCAATCTGTTATCACCGGAGCTATTCACTAGATTAATTTCCGACTATGGTTTTTCACTAAAAAAAGCTCCAAAACTTGCGAGGGTCGTTTAGTAACATATTAGGTAGACTTTGCTGAAAGAATGTGCCCTTATAACCCCCCTCAACGTACTTCTATATTCCGAAGAGCAAGTGGCGTGCTTAGACCAAGCTTCCGATGTATTTGCTTTTTTAGCGCTCCCGAAAAATCTCTTCTCTCTATTAGATAATTGATGAAGTGAATCATTGAAGCATGGTTTAGATGTAGTAATTTGAATTTCAAAAAATGACCGCATCTCCACGTGGTGAATGATGTTGATTGGGGCGAAGCTCTCGTGGTGCGTAGACGCTGAGCCGCAGCATGCCGAGCTTTTCGTTCGTTTTCATCCGTGTCAAAAAGAAGATGTGTGGTATGGAACGTAATTATATACGCATTTGAGCATTTGACCGCAGTGCCCTGTCGTTTATAAACGTTGAGCCAATGCATGCAAAGTTTAACGCGATTATATACGCATTTGACCGCAGCGCCCTCTCCTGTATAGACGTTGAGCGGCTACATGCAACGTTTCATCCATGACGTCCCCAGCTCTTGAGTTACTACCACATCTCGGAGCCCCCTACTCGTCCCGCAGTCGTGGCCGAGTGGTTAAGGGGATGGACTAGAAATCCACTGGGGTCTCCCCGCACAGGTTCAAATCCTGTCGACTGCGTAAACATTTTTTTCTTTTTTTAAAAAGACAGCTGGAATGGCAATCGATGTGAGCACGGAAGCCGGACAAGGCTAGACCGTAAGGAGCTTCGCCCCTAATAATTCTGTCTCGAAGGCTCACCAATTTCCATCAGCATTAAGGCAATCGAAGGTTTCATTGAAATATGGTTTTTCCGGAAAAAAGAAATTTAGCGCACTATTTACCATACCTCGGCAAACCTCACTCATGAGGGCCCTCACTCACCCTCACTCACCCTCATCTTCACAGGTGAGGTGAGGGTGAGTGAGTTTCTGAACCAGGAAAATTCATGAGTGTGAGGGTGAGTGAGGGCCGTGAGGGCTGTGAGGGCGGTGAGGGCGGTGAGGGCTGTGAGGGCGGTGAGGGCGGTGAGGGCGGTGAGGGCCGTGAGGGTGGTGAGGGCCGTGAGGGTGGTGAGGGCTGTGAGGGCGGTGAGGGGTATGAGGGCCATGAGTGTGTGAGGGGCGTGAGGGCGGTGAGTGGCGTGAGGGCCATGAGTGCGTGAGTGGTGTGAGGGCGTTGAGTGCGTGAGGGGTGTGAGGGCCATGAGTGCGTGAGGGCAGTGAGTGGCATGACAGGCGTGAGGGCCGTGAGGGCCGTAAGGGCGGTGACTACATGAGGTGGTGTGACGGCCATGAGTGCGTGAGGGCGGTGAGTGCGTGAGGCCCCCTTCAGATCGAGCATCTTTCTCAGCAATTTTGGTGGTAATGGCGGGTTGTTCTCTAGCTTTCCCTAGATCGACACGAATTGCTGAGATCGGGTCCGGCTCGAAATAAGCAAGCAACTCGGAGCAATTAAAATGCGTTTGAAGCGGCTGCATCCAATCAGGGACGCAAAATGTGATGATGACACCGAAAGACTTGGTTCTGGTTTGAAATCGATCGTTTTTTTGGAAATAAACTGTTTCAGAAAGGTGCATTAGTATTCTTAACGAGATTTAAATACACAAAAACACGTTTATAATGCGTAATTGTGTCTAAATAGTGCAAGAAAAATAAAATTTTATGATGACGATGGCAAATTGCAGCAATTGGTTGCTGCGTGTGATAGCGGGCGGCCCGTGTTGCTGGCGTTGCGACGTAAAGTTTCTGGGCGAAATTGCCCCATCTGAAGCTGGCCTGAGTGGCGTGAGGGCCATCAGTGCGTGAGGGGCGTGAGGGGTGTGAGGGCCCCAAGGGCGGTGAGGCGCGTGAGGGCGGTGAGTGGCGTGAGGGCGGTGAGTGGCGTGAAGGCGGTGAGTGGCGTGAGGGCCGTGAGGGCGGTGAGGGCCGTGAGGGCGGTGAGGGCCGTGAGGGCGGTGAGGGCCGTGAGGGCGGTGAGGGCGGTGAGGGCCGTGAGGGCGCTGAGGGCGGTGAGTGGCGTGAGGGCTATGAGTGCGTGAGGGCCGTGAGAGCGGTGAGGGCGGTGAGGGCGGTGAGGGCGGTGACGGCCGTGAGGGGCGTGAGGGCCGTGAGGGCGGTGAGGGCCGTGAGGGCCGTGAGGGGCGTGAGGGCCGTGAGGGCGGTGAGTCCGTGAGGGCCGTGAGGTTCAGTGAGGGTGAGTGAGGGCTGAAGGTGAGTGTGACTGTGAGGGTGAGGGTGAGTGAGGGGCTGAAGGTGAGTGTAGCTGTGAGGGTGAGGGTGAGTGAGGGGCTTGGGTGAGTGTGGCTGTGAGGGTGAGGGTGAGTGAGGGCGACCTAAAATGCCGACCTCTGCTATTTACGTCGGGAGACTCTTTCACAGTTCTGCACACGCTCCAGTTTTCTGCTTGTACACACAAAGCAGTCGAAACGTGTCTCGTGACATGCATACTGCACAAAAAAGAAAGCATTTTGATGAGCCCGTCGGAGGGAGTACTCGCCTGCTCTTGAAGCAGTCCACGCAGAGGACGCAAGTGGGGTCGAGCCCGCAGTCGCGGCACGAATAGGTGGGCTCTCCCGACTTGAAGACCCGTCCGCACAGCGTGGGGGGCGACTCCAGCCGACGTAGCTCCTCGAAGTAGCCCCGGGGGTCAGAGGTCCCGCACACAAACCTGCGCCAGAGGGAGGCCACGCTAGGCCCGCAGACAACGCCGAGACCCGCCACGTGGCTAGCACTTCACTACCTCCTCGCTCCCTCCACGGCGACATTAACATGTCGCGGAGGCATTATCGCGGTAAAAGCAGAAATTTCTGCAACAACTGCGATGACGTGGCACTTGCGTCGGCTCACCCTCTCTGCCGAACTGCCTGGATTGCAACGTCTAACGGCACGACGTCGTTTGCTGCCACTTGGGCACTACTTTGGACGCGTGGGGGAGATGTTGCGGGCACCCCCCGACGGGGCAGCCAACGGTCGACCCAGTAGTCCTTCCAAGGAATTAACAGTGGTGCGAAAGATTTGGTGAACAGTCACTGGCAAGGGCTCTCTTGGTTGCACTCTCGAGGTGCCCAAGCGCGATCCACTCTCCTTCCGTCGCCTCCACCGACGTCTGAGGACCTGACGTCCGGGAGGGGTTCGCAAACAATTCCCAACGTACCAGGGAAGGCTCCTAATAAGTGGCTTAGATAAATAATAGTTTACTTACGGGATTGTCGAGTTCGGAGAACGTACGGGGGACCCACTGGGGTACTCCGGGGCACCCCAATGTTTCTAGACACGGCCAGTCTAGAGCGGAGAGGCGCGCTTTTCTTACGGCCTTCACTCTCGCCAAGAGAACAATGCAATCTTTTTGTTGTGGTTAATGCCACTACTTCCCGCGTGAAGGCACCACCACCCTGACCTCCCACAACACACGCCGAGCTGCGCTGGCCGCTCCACACTCCAACTGTATTTGAATGTTTTGATGCTTCCTTTGTTTCCGATGAGTGATCACACATTAGACTGCCTTCAGTCCGATAAGCCGAAAGTTTCAAGCAGATGAGGCTGAACGACTTGCCTGAGTGGACAACGTCAGGCATGCTGTGTATCGGATATCGCGCTAATGGTGTACTGCTGTGTGCCGTTCTGTAAGTCCCGGTCTGGGAAGACTTCAGGTGTTTCTTTTTATAAATTTCCGGGCGACGAAGAACTGTGTTCTAAATGGAAAAAGAACATTTCACGAGAAAATTTCACTATCAACCACGAGTTGGCATCAACTGTCGCTTGCTGCAGACATTTCCGTCATAGTGACTATGATGCTGAGTGCCGCATCAAAAAGCTCCTTCCGGGTGCCGACCGTCTTTGAAGACCATCCATCCAACCTGGCGCCAAGAGCGAAGAAACCTCAGAAGGACCCTGTACCTCGCAATTCCCTACTCCTCGGAAACCAATGAAGCAGAAAGCCGAAGCAGCTGAATGCTCGCACGACGTTTGCGATGTGTTGGACAGCATTCCCGACCAGAAACCTAGTATTTGCACACAAACGACAAACAATGACGCCCAGCGAGCAAGCCGTTATCTTTCCATGATCGGAAGACTTCGCTCTCAGGTCGCATACTACCGCTCCAAGAGCGGGAAGCTTCTGCAACAGCTTGCTGCCGAAAGAAAAGTGGCCAGCTTCTATCGTGAAGATGAGCGGTACACTTCTGTCAAGAAGATTGCTGCAGATTCTGAGAAGGGAGAAAGAAAGGTGCTGTTTCTTCTTCACCAGATAAAAAGCTACGGGAAGAAACGGCTATGCTACCCCAAAGAGATCATCAGAGAAATGTGTCATATGGCGATTTCTTTCGCCAAAAGGCTATGATCATGCTCGAGCATCGAAACTTCCGACACATGCAGCAAAGTGCACTCTTCAGAGATACACAGGCCCAAGTCCAACATCATCAGGAATGAGTGCCGCCATAAAAGAAAGGCTGATTCACGAAGCCTCAATGCTCAGCAGCAAGCAGCACTTGGCGTCATTAATCATTGACGAGGCTGCCGTAAAGCCTGAGGGCTTTTACGACAGGAAAGGTGATGCAGTGTTTGGCCTCGGGGACAAACCGGATAGCAGTATGCACTCTAGCTCAAAAGAAACACTCGCAAACAGGGTCCTTCGCTTCGTCCTTAATGGCATTACTAGCTCGTACAGGATACCGTGCTAACATTATTTCACAAGGCAGCCGAGTGGACGAGACCTCTTTCCATGGACCAAGGAAGTTATCTTAGCTGTGGAGTTGTGCGGGTTTGTGATTGTTCGCATTGTGACGAACAATTATTTCGCAAACACGACGATGTTCAAGCACATGGGAAATGGCTGCCTGTCAACAGTTGTCAACCATTCGGATGATCATGACCGATCATCTTCCTGTGCTTTGACCCTTGCCACATTATCAAGAACATCCGAAGCCAGTTCCTCAAACGCAAGCTTACCGATGGCTCAGGTGTCGTCAGTGGTATGTTCGTCCAGAAACTTTATGATTACCAAAAGGACATGACGATAAAAATGTCACGGACTTTGACAAGGAAGCATGTCTACCCCTCAAACCTAGAGAAAATGAATGTGCTTCGTGCCGTCCAAATATTCACCCCACAAGTAACTGCAGCCTTAGAACACCTTCAAGGAAACTCACGCAATGATCCTGCTCTTTATGTTTTCAAACGCAAGCCCTACCATTTCATGAAGACAAAGAGGGAAAGGTTTGACATTCATGACACGACCTACGCAGGAAGGCACAGAAAAGACCCATCTCAACGAAGGATGACCCTCGACTGGTGTGGCTTGAAAACAAGTTTCTATGCTACGTAAAGAGCATCCAGGAAACATCTGTGGCTTCAGGAATGAATGCTTTCACAAATGAGACCTTCCAAGCCTCGCTTTTTAACAAAAAGTTAACAGTGGAGACAACAAAGTTCCTTCTAGCAAAAGGCGCCAACTTCGCCCTGACAAGAAAGTTTAACAGCGACCCCCTCGTAACACATTTTGAGAGAATAAGAATCATGTGTGGTGGCAATGACATGCTCGACGCAAGGGCTGTGACGGCGGCTCTAGATCACATTGTGAAAGAAAAGACTCTGCCTGCTGCAGGGGAAGTCAAGATACCCGATGCTGACACTGAAGACCTCGCTCCGGCTCTACCACCAGCTCTAATTGAAGAACTCAGAGGCCTAAGAGAACATCCCGATGCTCCTTCATGCTCTGTGACCTACTCTGGAATTGGATACGTCGGTGGGTATATTGTAAAGCTTATGAGTGACTTTGGATGTGATTCTTGTGTAATGCTTCTAACAACAAGCAAGGAAAATGATCCCTTGTTTGTGCTTGTGCAAGGTCAAGACAGTAGTGGACTCTATTACCCAAAGCCAGAGTTTCTTGCTCTCATGGACAAGATAGTGTTTTTCTTTGAGAAAGCAGTGAAGCACATGCCACAAACCAATGTTCTCCAATCCCTGCAAGTACTGATTGAACCACATCTTGATGAGTCACCCATCCTGAACTACCCAGAAGGTGTCGACAACAGTAACGCCAAGCGGTCGGCTAGTTTGATTTCTGAGAAGCTCGTCAGGATCCTTCTCGTTAACTATGCAAGAAAGGTTACGGACAATAATGACAGGCCGTCTGCCTATGTGCATAAGCCGTCGAGAAAGCATTTCAGGCTGTAAACTTGTAAGCCTGCCTCATGTAATTTTCGTGGTGTACTGCTTCAGAAAGCCTACTTGTTTAGCGTGAATAAACACGGTACATTGTTACTATGTGTCCCCTAAATAGCAGTTCGATTGTGTTTTATTTTTTGTTTGCTACAATTGCATGCATAGAAAAAGATAGATGTTAGAAGCACTCCAGCCTATGACCACTTTCACGTTCAACATTTGTTGCGGCTAAAGCGCGGCACTTCCCGTGGTAATTGGCCTATATTTAAAAAAATACATATAAAGCAGAAAGATAAATATCTCTGTGGGTATTTGGCTTTCTGCCGTGAAGTTCTTCTAACAAGCGCAGTAATTTTTAAAACTCCATCTTGGAGCGTACGAAGTGCGGTGGCAGAGAAAACGCAGAAGCGCGCCTCGAATGGAGGGCAGGGGCATGGCGGTAACGCCTTTACGAGCTGCGACGACAGGGAGAAACGACTCCTTGTGCGAAGGCCGTAAGAGAGCACGTCTCTCCTCTCTAGACCTGCCGTGTCCTTGAAACCCGAAGAGCAGCGACATAATGCTCTCGGGCCTTATGGGGTCGCCAAAGCCTTCTTAGGGTCGAGCAACTTTTTTTTTTTGGCCAACACTGGCCGCCTTGCGGAGGTAAATACACCGAGCCGTGTGGTTGATTACTCTCCATTTCAAAGCTTCGAATTTGGTTTGCACACTTTGCTTCGGTCACGCTTTTGTCACGGTAATTGTCCGATACCCCAGCAGATGGGCTATCGCTCCTGCCGATACAGAAAGGGCCCAGAACTACCACCACGTAGACAAATGCGGTTCTTTGGGTCAAACTTTGACTTTTGCCTGGAGGGCCTTAAAAAGCCCCAAGCCAAGAAAGAGCCAAGATACAGCCAGAGTCTGGGTGTCTTGGCCCCGCCAACCAAGAATGAAAGTTAGGCTTCACTGCTGCTCTGTCAACTGGCATATTTGGCTCAAGTCTGGCAATTAAGTGGCGAGCCAAAGAAACCCCAGAGAAACACCAGAGAGAACTGCTCCGGTACTGACGCCTCAAAGCAAAACCGGACTAGGCCCAAGTTAGGTCCCTAGGGTCGCCAAGCTGGTGCCAGGTGGGGCGTTTCTCTAGCGTGCCACCTGGCCAGCAAGAGAGGGCGGACGCTGCTCACCTCTCGAGGGAGTCCAGAAGGGTGTGCTTGAGGGCGGCTTCGTCGTAGGCCAGGGCCAGAGGCCGGCACTGGTAGGGGGGGCTGAGCAGGGGCGGCACGTGCCGCGCCCAGAACTGCCGCAGGGTGGCCGGGCCCAGGGCACCGCAGGCGTGGGCCTTGCGCCACCCGCACACCGTCGCCTCCAGCTCGGACCCAAAAGGGCTGCGCACGTCCTCCTCCTCCCCCGCGCGCCGCACCCCTCCCTCCTCCTCCATCCTTACGGGAGTTCCAGGCCAGCCGTCTCTGCAGCCTGCGCACCTCCCAGAAAGGGGCCTCCATTTACGCGCTGACATTTCACCTTTTCGAGCAGGTTCTGTACAGGTAAACTTCTGGAGCAGTAACTTGTGCTTTTGGAGCAGAGGCCAAATCTCTTACCGCATCACTCCAAAAAAAAAAAAATTATTGCATCCCTAAACGAGTTTATTTTTGATAATGACTAAAGGCCCATTCACACTTTGCAACCTCTTAGAATAGAGGGCTACGGAACCTCTTAATATCTCTTATGACGAGAGGACACACTGGCGCCATCTATTGGGTAGCAATCTAAACTTGGCGGTCCAGCATATTTCCTATTTCTCTCGCGCATTATCCTTTCTTTTTTGGCTCGAAAAACTTTTGTCAACGTTATAAACCAGCCTTCCTCGTAGGTATTACGCACATTTGACCTCGGAAATTCTGCAAAACCTTCGCTCTTGTGAAATGCAGTTCCAGGGTCACCGCATAGATGGCGCCAGTGTGTTCTCTTGCCCTAAGAAATTTTAAGAGGTGTTAACAAGTCTCGTCTCTCTTGGTCGGTTGCAAGTGTGTAAACAGGCCTTAACCCCTTAATTTTTAAGTGCCTCGGACGAGCTGAGCTTGTCGGCCACTTTCTGGCTAAAAATGCCATGGACGAGCTCGGCTCGTCCAGTGGTTCTTTTGGTAGCCATGAATTCCAAGGAGGTAGGCTCGTCTGAGTAGTTTTGCGGCGCTGATCATAGATGGCAGAACTCGTTTTAGTTGGCAAATATTTTTTTGCCTCCGCTAATTTTTGCGTAATAAACTTTTAAAATTTTATGTGTAATACTAGAGGAATAACAATTCGAAACAAAAAAAAAGATGGCACATTTAGGTTACTCTTGGAAAAAAAAAAATTTGGCACTTAAGGGGTTAAAGGGGCCCTGCAATCACTTTTTTACTGGTTTTTAATTTGCACCAAACCTGAGCGCACTGACCGTAGTAACTTAATGTACCTTTTCTTTTCTCGGAAGTCGCTTTATTTTAAAAGTTATAGGCGAATTAAAATTACAAAAACAAGGAAAAAGAACCTCCCTCATGACGTCCTTGGTTGCTTGAGTGGCCGTGAACTAGAGGAGGGATATAGTGAGCTCAGCGAGCGCTCACGGCTGCCGCACTGCGTGTCGACGGTGCGTGAGGGCGCCACTAAAGCGTGTTCTGGATAGGCTGTATACAGCGGGCAGCCAGAGCAGCTGTCATTGCATTTGCTGCGCGATTAAACACTAATTCGGCATGACACTTCATTGGCCACAAATGACAGCAAACACGGGGTACATATCAGTTCAGAAAGGGAGCCACTTAGCGCAGCCGTACCGCGAAATGGCCAAAACGCAAGACAAAGCTACTCGCTGAAGGCCTTCGGAACGCTCAGAGCCGGTCGGATTTTCCAGTCCGTAAACGACCGCAGCGCCGCCGCGTACATCCGGAACCTTTCCGTTTCGGCGCCTAATCCCACTACTCTTTTCTAGTGTGCGCCGTTTTTTCCACCGCTTGGTGGCGGGTATGTCGACGGGTCATTTCTTGTTTCCGTACTTTATGAACTGCATTCGTTTCTTTTCTGATCTAAAATATTGAACAAAAACTACTTTTATAAGTAATTGAAATGGTTCGTGCCACTTATGTTTTGTATTTCGACTAAAAAGAAGCTTTTAGCTGCTCTGACCAGTAGTAAGCCCAGGACCAAAGACGTCACATTTTACGCGCTTTCGGTACCGCGGGTCGCCCCCGTCGGTGGAGGAGGTTTCCGCGTCGTCCGGTTAAAATATGATGCACCGATATTTAGTTACTCTCTCCGTCCCCGCTGACTTGCCCGAACCCCAAGAGACGTGGAAACCGCAAAAAAGGTAGACGCTTAAATACGACTGCAGGGCCCCTTTAAGGGACCTCCTTGATACTGGAGCACATCACTTATCACCATTTGTAATAAGAGTGGGTGCAAAGAAACACAGAGGTTGGCAAACACCCCGAGACTGCGGGTAGAAACGACGCATACACCTACTTTTAGCGTGCATCATTTTTTTTGTTGTCCCTTTTAGTGCTGTTTTTACCCAGAATCTCGGGTTTTTTTGTCACGCATAATATTCACCATCGTGTTTGCACTCTTACATTCAGTTCCTTAACACGGAGCATTCTTTTTTAGAAATAAGGCTCTGGCCAGAGTAAGGTCCATCTATGGTGGATTTTAGACCAATGCGTCAGCTGGAATAAAGCCCCTTCCTCTTTTGCACTCGTACAATGCCATCAAAACCAAGCATATCTCCTGAGCACAGCTCCTTAACACTAAAGGTTAACCTAGAGTCCAGATCAAGGAAGGTAGCGTAACTTCCGAGCCTACCCCATGCCAGCCGCTGCTCCTAGCACTCCGGCGCAAAGCGGTGGAGCTCGACGCGTGCACTCTGGTGAAAGGCAATGAAGGGTGACGTGCAAAGGCGGATGCAGGAATTTCCTGAGGGGGGTCAGGTGTTGGTCAGCGTACCATATGTTTAGGAACCCCCTCTCCCCCATTTCACGCCCTAAATTTTACGTATGCAGAAATCAAGAGGGAGGTCAGGACATCCGGGCCCCCCCTCTAAATCCGGCCCTGGTGACGTGAGCAGTGCAAGTGCCAAAGCTACGGCACGGAGGTATGCGGCAAGACAGGATAAGCGAGCGACCTCATCGAGAGCACTGGCATAGCTCTAGCTCCTCCTAAATCCCACTCTACAATACACACGCGCGCATGTGTCAAGAAGCAGTCCAGCTGAATGTATGCAATATAGTATAGTACAAAACTGCCAAAACTGTGAGCTTGTTTAAAATTCTAAAATTTTTGTTTTGCTTAGGGGACACAGGAGGGGGAGAATGCTTACCAGGAAGCCGCAGTTTGGCCACCCTTTCTTTCGCTAGACCAATCAAGTGCAGCAAATGTCCCCTGACTTGTGCTTTTAGTATGTCTTGGTGGTTGCATGTGTTCAAACCTTCCACTGTGCTCTGATGCAAGATCTATACAGTAAGAAGAGATGCTGCGAAATATGTACAAATTTGTACCTTTTTCTTTTCCGCTACTTCTCCGAGTATTAGGATCAAACACGATCACGTAGGTAAACGTTAAACAACAAGAAAGCAGACAGACAAGGGCACACTTGCAACGGACACTTTATTTTTCTTTGTTCAAGCCTACCTGGTGCAGGCGTGGTACAATTCTTAGCAAAAATGACATTTTGGTGCGAGATGTACCATACTTTCATGTATGGCGCAATAGACCGATGCCACCAAGCGAACTGCGCAGGCGCGCGCATTCCGGAAATATTGCCGCCGCCATGCTACTTGTAGTCATCGCTCTCCGACTTCCCGGCTGAAAAGGGCTCATGTGGGCGTACATCATAGTTTGGGAAGCCCTGGTGTTAGCTTGGATTGTCCTGCATATCAATACTTTATAACATTGTGTTGTTTGTGATGCCTTAGTTTGTCATCAAACGCAAAAAAAAACAAAAAAAAAAAACAGTTTTGGTTGTCTTGTCGCTTTAGAATCGCTTTGTCGTCTGCTTCGTCGTCGTCCGCTTCTTTGCCTTCGTGAACGCGCGTGAACCCACTGCGTTCACGCGGTGGTCTTACTGCAACAGCGGGAAAAACAACGAGGCCGCTACTCCCTCGAGCACTCCGGATAAACTTGGAAGCAAGTGAATATCTACCTCAACGTTGAAGAGCACAAAATTCGAGGAACCATCAGCTCGGTGTAGCACCGCGGAACAACGTCAAATGTGTCGGTGAAATACTGAGCTATGTAGTGCGCAGGCATGGGCATAACTTTTATTCGACAATGAAGACGAGCTCAATAGACATTCTCGGAGAGCGATAGTTTTCTAAAACTCGTTTTATTCTGGTTGACAGCCTTTGCGACAGGGTACAGATGAACTGCGAGGGGAAGCCTGCACACAAAGAAGCGATCCACAAAAGGAACCTGCCTGAAGAGCTGTAACAACTCGCGTTTGTCAAAATGAAACCTAACCATGCGAGATGCCTGAGAACTTCGGGTAGAGATGAGCTTTTGAGTACAATTTCTATTGAATTTTATTTGGTTAACGGAAAGAACTGTCCGACGGAAAATGCTTTTTTCCGCTGTGTCGATTGGTGTTAATACAGAATGGATCAGTAACGCCAGCCAAAATCAGGGTGTGGCAGAATAGCCCACCAAAAAAAAAAAATTAAGTCTGATTTGGAAAAAGTTGTTTTATTTCAAGTTATACATACCGGGAATCGCTGCTCTTTCTTCAGTGATTGTACTGATCAATTGAAGCACAGTTGTGCTCAAAACATGTCGTATCAATAACAGTTGTAACCACCAAAATGCATCAAGCAAACACTGTATTAAAAACAGCCGCAGCAAGGCAGTGTGGAAGTTCCGATTGAGATAGACCAACGGATATATCGCTACGGAGCGAGTGCTCAGGGAGATTCCAACGTACGGAACACTTTAGCACGCCCTACTACGTCTCATGCCCTGTGTAAGCTTACCCTCTTCAGTTATCGTGAAATGGGGTGAATATAAATTATGAATCAAATAACGAAACAAATCTAAAAACTCTTTCTCCTGCCGCACTTCTACCGCTCTCTTTACCTTTTTTAGACACTCTTTTCGTGGGCTGCTTTCTTTCAAGAAGACATAAAATCCTATGCCTTTTTGCCTGGTGTGGTTATTGTAGCACCTTGACACAGAACGGGTGATGACGCCCATTAAAAACAGTGAGTAAACAGCCGACTAAAAGACTCGTGCTAACCTGAAAATTCCCAAACGCCGGGCGTACAACGCGCCTTGACGCGACCAGAAAACTGGGGAGAACTACATTTACCAGAGTGCACCGCGGCAGCAGTGGCGTCGTGCAACTCCTGGTGAGATCGGTCTATTCAAAGCAAACGGAACGGCATTTCCATCCCTGTTTACACTTGCATTTCTTTTGAGGAACACTGACACCTTCCCGTGTTTTTTTTTTTTTTTTT